AGTCTATAAGAGTTTGAAGATCAATATCTTCTTGAGTATACTAATCTTTATTTAATCTTCTCAAGATTGATCATCTGCTTCTAAGATCTTAGTATTGAAGTCAGAAATGAATATTGTAAGAGAAGTGTTTCTCTATCAGATACTCTATAATTAATCTAATACTTTCTATTATATAACAGTGTCTTGAAACAGAATATCAAGATATTTCATAATATTATCAGATATTTGTAACACTGATTCACATACTTTTATTTATAAATGAAACTTCTGTTTCATGTAATTCTTCAATTATTCATTGATATATTAATCTTAATTGATTAGTAAACTGATGATATCTTCATTTATACTCAGTTTTATAAGCATTTTCATTCTTTATAATGAGTAGAGAGTGAGATCAAAAGTATTAAAATATATAAGAGTATCTAAGCATTTCTTCAGTACTTTTATATTCAATTCTGTAGATGTTGAAATTGTATGAGTTAATTATTAAATCTCTTTGTATTGAAGTTGTTGAGTTGTATACATATCAGCTATTTATTATTGTTGTAATTTCAACATTACTTAGAGTCACTGTAGCATTATATCTATACTTATATTTGAGAGTTTCATATTATCATTAGATATGATTATATCATTTTATTGAATATATGATATCTGAAGAAGTGTAATTATATAAATATCTTATATATCTAAGATCAGAACTCTCAGGTCTTTCACTAATATTCTCTTTATAAGATTTTATTACAGAGTTAGAGTGACTGATAAGTAAGCTTCTATTTAAAAACTCAGTGTCTGCTTAACTATTTAACTGTTTCTCTATTTCTTATATATTGTTTACATATTCAGATATCTCAGTGAGTAATCATTTCTAATGAGAAGATAATACATGAATAATTATTTCTAATAAGAAGACAATGAACATTTTTCTAGTGTAAGAGATCTATACTGAATAGATTGATATTATATTAATAGATCTTATATAATAAAGAGAAAAACATTAGAGAAGAAAAGAAAGAGAAAGTGTGAGAATCAGCAATCAGAGTGAATATTTATACATGTATGTGATGATGTATGTAATGAGGCTTCAGAGTGGAAGAATCTATACGCGTTCATAGTGGCTGAGGATCAGTGATTGAGAATGGCCAAGAATCGGAGTGTATGTGTTCGTGGCGGCCGAGGATCGGCGATTGAGAATGGCCGAGAATCGGAGTGTACGCGTTCGAGAATGGAGCGGTTGAAATCTGTGGAGTGTAACAGAATAGTCTATATGATTGATCGGGCGCAGCCCGCCACAAGACAGTTGATATAAAATTGAAAAATAACAGATAAAAGAGAGTGTAGAGAATTATTTATTATACTCTTAATAAATAAAGTAAATGAAAATTACTATCTATAAGATTTAACAGCATCTGCTCTAAGATTTAACAGTGTTTATTCTTGAGAACAGATAAGTAGAAATTAAGCAGAAAGAAACAAACACTGTTAATACTCTGAAGAAGATGAATTGAGAAAAAAACTTGCTGATTTTATATATAAATTATGATTTTAAAGAGATAAGCTTTGTCTGACAGTTTTCTCATATAAATTGAGTAAATAAATAGACAGTGATATATAGATACTAATTAACAGCTATACTGTATATAGAGCTGCAATTGAGAATATATAGAGTAAACTACTTAAATTATCTTATATATCTTATAACAATCTCAACAATGTTCTTATAATAAGAATGTTTAAGAACTCTGAATAATAATATCTGAATAATAATTAAGAGAAGAATCTTTCTATAACTGTAAAAGCAAGAGTGTGAAAATAAATACTGACTGATATATAATCTATTAACTGATAGAATAATAACTGTTAAGATAAGCTGCTTGAGCAGAAGAAAAAGATTTTAGTTATAAAATGACATACTATTAATATTAAATGAACTTCATAATTGTTGTTCTTTTTTAAGTTCAATATGATGTGAGATTCTAAGATAAACTGTTAGAGGTCCCGCGGTTGATCAGCTCTTCTATCAGCAGTGTACTGATAATAACTGAGCTCTTTTATTCTAAGTATGAGCTCTGCTGTAATCAACATGCATGAGTTCAATCTCAGAATAAACTTAAAAATTCTAAATACATACTTTGAATATTTGACAGTGTTAAGAGTAGACTGACTGTGTAACTGTGTCTGAGATCAGAATCAGATTTTTTAATAGTCTTATTATCAATTCAACTAATCTCATTACACAGTTTTAACATTAAATAGTAGTCTTATACTATTTCAGTGAGACTTACTATTTACTCTTATCACATTTTTTAAATAAGACTATGATTTTCACTTCTCAATTTAAATTATTTTTATTGCTTTAAATGACTTTAAATCTTATTTAAGTATTACTAAAAAGTGTTACTTTTTAAAAAATTAAAAATAGTCTAAAAAAAACCTTAAAATGTCTAAAAATAGTAACTTTATGTCAAGAATGAGACTAAATGAAATTAAATGAGATCACTTTCTTATTTTTTTCAAGTTATAGTTTTATTTTAAGATCTGATATATAGTCACTTTACATGTTTTTTTAATAACTAGTCTCAGTGAGATTCACATCAAGAAATGTATGAGATCAGATTAAATAAGATTAAATGTGAAATTCATAGTTCTAGTGATCAGTCTAGTTAAGAGACATTTTAAAAGTATACTCTAGAAGTCTCTTAAGTAATAGAACTAAGTTCACTGAAAGAAGTTACTATAAGAAGTCACTGAAAAGAGTCACTGAGTACTCTACTCTGTAATAGCTGATCTGAGAAGAGATGTTAAGAGTTCTGTGATTAATTAACTCTTCTATCAGCAGTGTACTGATAATGACTGAGCTTTTTTACCTCAGTGTATATAGAAAACTTGACCTTGCTAAGTGCGTCACTTGATCTCATTACATAATCATGACTCTGATCTCATATAATATAGTAATAATTAGTTAATAATTAACTTTCAATCTTTTAATTCATTTATTCATTTATTCACTCAGTTTATTAATTAATCAAAGCATGTATAGCTAATTTATAATTAATTAAATAAACAGATAAATTTATATAGAATATAAAGAGATATTTTACAGAATTTTAAAATATATCAAGATAAAAATATTTAATAATTAATTTTAAATTAATTTTAAATTGATTTTGAATTGATTTTGAATTAATTATTAATTAATTATAGTAATAAAAATAAATTCAATCTGTATATTTAAGTAATTAATAATTGATTGAAAATCAGTTAATAATCAATTCAGTGTAATTTATATAAATACTTACTTTATTATTAAATTTAAGAATAATTTCAGTATTAAATTAAATTTAAATTGATTTTGAATTGATTCTGAATTAATTGTTAATTAATTATAGTAATAAAAATAAATTCAATCTATATATTTAAGTAATTAACAATTGATTGAAAATCAATTGATAATCAATTCAGTGTAAATTATATAAATACTTACTTTATTATTAAATTCAAGAATAATTTCAGTATTAAATTAATTTTGAATTAATTCTGAATTAATTGTTAATTAATTATAGTAATAAAAATAAATTCAATCCGTATATTTAAGTAATTAACAATTGATTGAAAATCAGTTGATAATTGATGATAAATAATTGAGTGGTTTCAAATTACAAGAAAAGATGTATTGAGCGAGGTCAGGTAGTAGTGGCACAGGCCACATTTGCGAGGACAGCTTACATAACGAGGTCAAGTGGCGCACTTAGCGAGGTCAAGTTTTCTGCTTCCTGTTTGGCCCAGTAGCCTACATAAACGCGTACGATGACTAAGCTATAGATTACATACATGATACCATGAATACAGGATGTTTATATGAGGCATACGTAATAAATACGCAGTACTGTAACAGCTATGGGGTAACTAGTAGTCTACATCAGATATCTTCGGGGTACAGACAATAATTCTATGCAGCCGATGGAGCCATCTGTATCAGCAAAATTGAGATGTTGAGATGTTTCAATATGTTTAACTGATCATCATTAATTGGCTAACAGCTTGATACTGTATTGTCCCGCTTATTTGTGCTATTGACTTTATTTTTTTTTTCCGCATTTTCTTTCCCTTTCTATTGCAGAAGATTCATAAACAATGACTACACAATAATGAAAGAATATCTGTACTATCTTTATCATCTCCATTTTCTATATTTATTCTTTGGATAATGTATGGTTGATACGCGGAGAATTTTAGTATAATGAAGTGGAGTGTTTCTGCCGTACACTCACGTATTTCTTGGTATGGTAACGGGTCAAACAAGGGGCAATAGATATTTCATTTTTGAACCATTCGCCTTCAAAAGGAGAGAGAGTTGAGAGAAATACAGGGCCTTACGAAAATAAAGACGGTTGAAAAGCTGTAGCGCGGTCAAAATTCGGAACGGAATATAACTATACTACTACCTACTAGGCCATAAACCCCTGGTTACTTACTGTACTTTTCTCGCGCAGTGGCTTTTTGTCTAACCCGCGTATGATATGCTATTGATCGTATTCGATCTTCGATCCTACTCCGATCGGTTGATATATCCATGATTTCCAACCGCGCCCCTCTCAGGGCTGGCTCTCTTGGCATGACGGTGTTGCGTTGCAGACAGAGGCGCAATAGGGTAGCAGAGAGATATTGATGGTAATGAAAACTGATACGTCCGTACTTCTTTTTATTTGTATTTATTATTATCTTTTCTTCCGTACTTGCTTAATTCCACCTCTCCGAAGTACATGTTCATTCGTTACATTCGGACACGAACCGCGTTCCTGCAGGTGTGCGCATGTTGGTCCCATATCCACGTTAAGTGCTGCGGGTATGATTTCATCTCCGTCCCGTCCGTCCAACATACACAATTTAAAAATATCACTCCGTTGTTATATCTGCAAAGAATATAAATATCGCCCTCCTCTGAAAGTCTTCCATGAACCGCCATTCTAGCATTTTCGCGTCGGAAAAGAGACAGGGGCCTGAGAAGTTGTAGCGAGCTCAATTCCTACTGTCAAGAATGTGTATGTGTTGTACGGGTTGATATGTAATATATGTATGTATATGATGGCATGTAACTTGTCTCGGGTGCACCATTTCACGCTGTTCCCTACCTAGTTCTTTTTCGTCTTCTTCTAATATAGAAAAGAGTGGGGGAGAGGGGCGCAAAGTTGAATAGTAAAATAGATAAAATGTTTTTATCATGGGGAAGTAGATTTCCACATCCGTGGATTTTATCATGTGTTAAATATGAAGAGGGGGACGTGGAGGAAGGGTCATGGAACGGCAAAGGACAGAAAAATAAAAAATAAAATAAAAAGGAGAAAAGAGAGAGGGGAAGACTAAACTGTAATAAATATCTGTGTGTAAAATCCAGGGGTGGGACGGGGACTAAGGAATATAAAAAGGCAGTTTAGAATAAAAGGTACATGTAGCAATAGAAAGCGAAGCCACACTGCCCGCATGATTCCATACCCCTTATGAAAAAGAATGGAAGAGAAAAAATGAAAAAAAGCCCCAGAAGGAGCAAAAGTTACAGAGGGGAAGGGAAGCTAAGGTTATCACAAGTTTGATTCTACTTTTGCAAGGGTCTATAACTCTACATACACTCATCCATATCATATTATCGTATTAACAAGGGGGAAAAAAAAGGCGAACAGTAACGGAAAAAATTGACGGAAGAGGAGCAAATTGAGAGAAAACAGAAAACATAAAATGATTACAAGAGACACAAAACACACTGAAGAATATAAACTCCCCCAGAAAGAAGAATAACCCTCAAACAGTCCCAGCAATACTCAAATCCCTAATCTCCTGCAACACCTGCTCAACCCGATCGTCCAAGTGGCCCTGGGCATACTGCTCTCTCGTATCCGAATCCAGATACTGCTGCACCTGCGCCATACGCGAGTACGCCTCTGCGCAGAACCGCAGTTGAATCTTCACAAGCGCCTCGAACGACGGGTCTAGGTACGGCACACGCAAGTCGATGAGCTGCGGTAGCTCGTTGAACAGCTGATCGTTTAGTTGCTCGTACGCCTGCTTGGCCATCTCGGCCTCCTTTTCCGCACGGGGCAGCTTCGTGACGTCCTTGTCAGGTTTCTCGACGAGTTTCTTCACCTTGGCGCGCATGGCGTCGTAGTCGAGGAGTTTGTGGTTGCGCTTTTTGATGCATTCGTTTATATCTGGGAAGTAGGCACAGAAGCGGGATATGGGTTCCAGGACAGTTGTTCTATCGCATTATTTACGTATAAGTCTTCAGTTTCGATCGTTGGAGATTTTTTGGCCGGTAGGGAAGCGGATATTGTTATCATCTTTCAAAATATGCCTACCTGTATGGTCCATCAAGCGCTTTGATTGTTTCCGCGTCAAGGTCCTCAACAGCTTGTTTGTAACTGCTGCTCACACCGTCTTTCGCGCCAGCATCGCCGTAAAACGCATCTATCGTTTCAGCAATCCGCATTTGCGACGCCGTCATTGCTATTTGCCCCGGGTTAGCCAGAGACCTACCCAGATCCACAGAAACGTAAAACGGAGGCTAAGACTGCAGTAACAAACCTCTCAGCGAGTCCAGATAGCCCTTCGCCTCCTTCTGTAGCCTGTTGACCGCAGATTCCATAGTTCGATAGCGTCTGTATAAAGGTGGAGAGATCCATGTCAGCAAAGGAGGGTCCCTTCACTTGCATTTCCGCCAATTAATACAAAACAGTGAAACTAAGAGATTCATACCTCTCTTCAATTTCATAATCCCGATCACTCGTCTTCTCCACATGCCCTACATATAACAAAAGGGTCAGCATACAGATCAAGAAAAGGGATAAGCTTGATAAAACCGAAATATATATAAAACTTACCCGTTTTCATCATAACCTGCGTCGTCGCCCGATTAACATTTTTCTTAAAGCCTGTTTAAAAACCGCAACAATCCCCCGCCCAGTTAGCAATTGTCCCAATTCTCAAGTACAAAAAAACAAAACGCTCTCGATAGAAACACTGCTCTATCAATCCCTTGCAAAATTGAGGATTTTCTTCTTATACCGCAATAACTCCGCGAATAAAAAAAAAGAAAAAAAATCCATCCTACACTACACGTCCACTTCCACTTTCCTGCCACATTGCTCCTCCTCCCGTACGATCTCCTTCAAAAACTGCCCCACAATCCCTTTACTCCAGGTAAGGGGAGAAAAGAAAAAAAAAAAAGAAAAAAAAAAAAAAAAAAGAAAAAAAAAAAGACAAGGCAAAAGGAAAAGCCAACAAATGAAAATTTGTACATCTACCACATACCAGCCCAAGACATGATGACCAAAAAGTAGCGACGTCAAACCAATCCAATCAGCAGCAAGGAAAATAATATATATGCTTCTCTTTCTTTCTTTCTTTCTTTCTTTCGTTCTCAAGAACCCCTCCGGCCAAAAAAACAAGAATCAAGGCAGCGAGAGTACCGACGAGCGGAGCGGGGCGGAGCCGGGGAAGAAACAAGGACTCTTTTTCGGCGAATTCGGATATAAGGGATACTTTCCCACCTCCTTTCTTTTTCAGTCCCGGCTCGAAGCAAATGGGAACGTGGAGGGAAAAAAAAAAAAAAAAAGTATGAAGGCGGGTGAGGCGGATGGATAGGTAGGTAGGTGGTGTGGGAATGCTTGGAATATACCAGCTATGAGCTTGCTGTGGTGTATATATATGTATAGGCGCGCTCGCTGGTATGCGGATGGATAGACAGAGGAAGGCGCTTTTCTGATTTAGGGTTCCGATTCCCCGACGAATGAGGAGGCCGCGCCGAGTGAGAAAGAGAGATTTTGGATAGGGAGAATAATGGATCTGTGTTCAAGGAAGGCGACGCCTGGGACGTTTCGTAGCTACGTTAGGCGGGATGATCCGTTAAAGAAGCCAGAAGCGGAGAGACTAGTTTTGCTCTGTATCCGTTTCGTCGACCTAGACGGATTGAAGAGATTCAAGAGAGACGTTAGGGGGAATGTGGTCTGAGTTTCTGTGTTTACATATGTTGGTGATGTTGGGCAACGATGATGATGGTGATGATGAGGATGCATGCAGGATGCATGACGGGCTGCAAACAATTGGTGCTTGCCGTATTTGGTCTGGGAATGGGCTTGGCATGTTTGGCTGCCGTCTCGACTGCGGATGCTTAGTCAGCGATGGCTGTGTCCCGGGCTTGGCTTGTTCTTTTATTTGCTTTTTTTCTCATTCTACGTCATCGGCTTACCATCGCAAGCATTCTCTGGCGATTGAACTGGGAATGGGCATTCTTACGTGCGCTGGGAATTTGCCGCCATAGCAAAGGAAATCCAAGGCTATAGATATAAAATAATCAATCTATGAAAAATTACGTTTGTATTGTATTTTATTGGATCCTGAAGTAATAAAATTCATAGCTGAATGAAGAAGGAAAACTTCAATATATTCCTCTACTCTCTTGACCGCTCAGCTGTGGCACGCATGGAAATAGTTGATGAATCGCGTATCTGACTCTAGCTAGATTAGCAGCGAGGAATGACTGTGTCGAATAGCTCTGCGCTTCACATATATATGTACTGCATAATCCAAAAGAATAGCATGTATTGCGCCCACACATAAACCATACCCATCTTAACCCGCACATCGGACATAAAAGTCTCTCCTCCGTAGCATAAACAAAACAGCAGCAAGCCCCAACCCCGACACTTATCATCATCACAAGAAGAGGGAGGAATAGAAGTGACTTGACTCAACCGGCAAAGATTTCAACACAATCATTCATGCATCGACCTCATATGTTCTAATAAACTCTCTCAAGATATTCAGGGATCTTTTTGTTTTCTGGCTTTTGAGTTTGCGCTGTACAATACCACATACAACATGCTCGTGTGAGATGGAGAAAAGGGGAGGAGTGGAATATTTCCCGTCAAGGATATTTGTTTGCGGTGAATGAATGGAGTGGAAATTAGCGGGGAAGGATTATACGATTCCCTAAGCCAGCGCCAGCGCATTGTATGTGAAAAAATTGTGTCTGTGTGTGTATGGGTGGTGTATGCGAAGGTGGATGAGAGTAAAAGGGACAAGAATAAGAGAGGAAAAGGAAAAGGAAAGGAAAGGAAAAGCGGGGCAGGGAGATGAAAATGACATCCCCCTATTCATTGACATGTATGGAGCAGGGGGATATGCGGACTCATAACTCATGTATATGTCATAATGCAAGGGGAAGAGAGGCAAAACAGTCAACAGTACATTGACCAGAATTTTTGGGTGGGGGAGGAAGAGAGGCAGAGAAAAACAAGAAAAAAAGTAAGTTAATAGAAGTGAAATGAGCCCTGCTCCTTTCTTCTCTGAGAGGTCAATGAGGGGAAACAAAATGGATGAACAGAAAGAAGTTAGATATGAAAAAATTCAATGACATCCCAATCACCACATCTCATGTCTCATGTCTCATGTCTCATAAATCATTCACACAAACATGATTCCTCTCCTCTCTGCTGCGGGAAAAGAGGTAAGCAAGTGGTAGAAGAAACAGATACCCCCCACTCCTACCCACAACCAATGTAGTTAGTTGAATGAAATGAAGGGGGAGAGGGGGTAGAGAGATATATAGAGAGAAAAAGAGAGCCAAAGAGTTCAAAGGCATCCTGGACACCTTTTCTCATTCACTACTTCAATTCGGTATATTGATAGTTATGTAGGTATGTTGTTGAGAACGAACCAAAAAGATAAGAAAGAAAATTGGTAAGAAGAGGAGGGTAAAAAGAAAAAAAGGTAATAGTAAAATTAAGACTAGAAAAAGAAAAGAAAAAAAAATCGTTCTCATAAAAACAGAGGTTTGATCCATCTGTTTGTCTTTGTTTGCCTTTCTTAACTAAAGCCCCTCCTCCCCCGCCTTGCAAATGCGGATCTCGCGGACCCATTCAGACTTCAGAACCTGGGAGGCGGTGATGCGGCGTGTGGGGTTCGGATCGAGGATGGAATATATAACGTTTCGGCAGCGGGCCTTTAATAACCAAAAAGGAGTCAGTGTGATAAAAAAAAAAACATCATATCGTAAATATCCGCGATAAGACGGGAAAGGTGATATTCAAAATAGCTTACCCGATGCAACGTCTCAATGGGCGCATAGCCATCCTCATCCCTCCTCCCCTCAAGATACCGATCATAAAACTCATCTTCCTCCCGCTGCGCAACACGCCACAGATGCCTCCCCGTCCTCATCGCCATGTAAATAACGCCCGTAGCCCAAACATCCACAGGGCGTGGATCAAATTCCTTATCAACATACTCCTCCGGCGCGATGTACGGCGCAGACCCACAGAGGCCAGCCGTCATATGCGCCTCCTTCTCCCAGGCCATGCGGAAACACTCGCCGTTGCCGAAATCCGTGATCTTGAGCGCGCCGTGGGTCGTCAGGAGGAGGTTTTCGGGTTTGAGGTCGCGGTGAGCCACGCCCATTTCGTGCATATACTCGACGCCGCGCATAAGTTGTTTGAAGTAGCAGTCGGCTTCGCCGACCTCTAGTTTACCGGCGGAGAGAATGAGGGTGTATAGGTCGCCGCCGGCGCAGTATTCCATGACCTCGCAGTAATCGCCCTTGGAATCCTGCATGAGGTCCAAGGTGTGGATGATATTGGGGTGGCGGAGGGAGGAGGAGATACAGAATTCTGAGGTAAGGCGTTTCTGATACTTCTTCGTCGTTTCCTGAGGACGGCGACGGAATTCTTTGACGGCATAGAGCTGTTCGGCTTTGGCGTCCTTCGGGTCGATCTTGTGCGAGATGCGGACGATGCCAAAGGCACCTCGACCGACGATTTCCTGGCATTTGCCGTATTTGTCAACGAGGGTCGCGTTGGACTGTGGACCACCCTTCTTGTCTGTTGCCAGCTTATCCCGTTCGGTTTTGAGCTGATCGACCCATGATGACATCAGCGAGAGATGCTGGTCATCAACCGGTTCTTCCTTCTTTCGTCCGCCTCCCAGCATATCCCGTAGCATATCCGAGAGCTTCTCCTGGCGCTTGGCGCTCTTCAAATGGTGCTTATGTACTCCTCCCTCCAAGAGTTCGAATCGTTTGTGTGGAGGGGTGACCTCTTTGCCCTGCTTCTTATCTCCATCAGCCTTTTTATCCTTCGAAGAGGTTTTGGCAATAGGCCCTGAGGAGCAGGGATCGCTTTGAGGGGTCGTGGTTCCCGAGGGGGTGGGTAGCGGAGATGATTTGCCGTCATTCGCGTGACTCTGTGCAACTGCATCCTTCACATTCTGGACATCTTTGTTGGTTATCCTGCCTGACTGAAACATGCGGGAGAAACGGTTTGTCATCTTTGATTTCTGGGGTTTGGGAGGAGACACCGCACCACCCTGCGCCTGTGCCGTAGCAGAAGCAGGGAGGTGGGTGTTCTCCAAAGCCTTTGTTATCTGGTCGCCATTCGGATTATCTGAAGTCTGCGATGTCGATGAAACTGTTGAAGGTGTAGACAGTGGAACGGATGGATTCATGTGCGTAGATTCAAAACGGGCAAGGTGTTTAGAGGAGTCAAGGACGTGACTCCAGAAGGGGCCGCGGGTGACTACACCAGCAGCGTAGGATAGAGTGAATGACACAAAACTGTCAGGAGGAAGAAGACCCCGGGGAAGAAGAAGAAGAAGAAGAAAGAAAAAATATTAAAAAAATAATAAAAATGTTTTTAAGAAAAAATAAAAAATAAAAAACAGAGCGCAGGATTGGCGGCGTATCCGCTGGGGCAGTTTATAAATAACCTGGGACGAGAGCGCCACCTGCGGGATTCGAGCGCAAGATTCCAAGAGATCGTAAAGGCAAAAGCAGAATAGAATGCTGGATGTAACCGGGTATTTATGCTCTCACAGGAACGCAGAAGTAGTATTTGATTGGTATAACGGTTTATAGATGTGTATAATGGTATAATCAAGGGCGCAACCAAGAAACGAGACGAGGAAGAAAGAAGTATAGAGGAAGAAGCGCGGTAGGGAAGGAGAAACAAGTGGGACCGAAGCCCAGCGACGGGGGGGTTAGAGAGGTGGGGACTACAAAATAGAGGATAAACTGGAGCCTGATGAGAATCCGTTGCAAGACCCTTCAGAACTCTCCAGCTGATGAAGAAAGGAATAAAGAGAAAGGAGAGGAGAGAAGAGAGAAAAAGAGAGAAAAGAGGAGGAGGAAATAAGTTTGGGGAGGCGAGGTTGAAATACTTTGTGTGTAGTTAACCGCGCGGGGACACACACAGCCGTCCTCTGGACACGGCCCGCACGAAGACTCACACACACACACATACACACAAAACGCAGCAACTTGGTACGAGTCACCGCAGAAAAGCTCCCGACACCCCAGCGCTGCATCTGCATCTGCTCGTACTTATTAATATTATTGTTCTTCTCCTTCGTCTTCTCCTCCCATCTATTCCCCTTGCACAGCGTGGGGCCGGAGCTTCTGCAACACGGAATTCCCCAGGCACTGCTAGTCTGCTAGTCGTTGAGTGGGCGCATTAGCCCAAGTTAAGCCCAGTGGAGCCTCGCCTGGCAGTGGCTGGGTGCAATCTGACTTGCACGCTTAGTTACAGCCACTATAATTATTGTTACTGTGGTGGGTGAGGTCTGGGTGAGGGGGTTCTAGTCTGGTACGATCTGGTATGGTCTGGTATGGTATGGTTACTTACGATGTCTGGTACGGTAAGGCTTCTTACGGCCGTCTCCATCGTCCTGCCATTGCCAGCATCACACTCACTATCAAACTAAATACAGAATTTAGTTCTCATCCTCCTCCTGTTATGTGAGAATGAATAAATTGTAAATCACCAAGCTGGTCACAGAATGATAGGGCCTTTTGCCGAGAACCTAGCAGTGCACTCGGGAGGACCTGGATGAAAGAGAGGAGACGAGAGGGTGGAAACTGAAACGGCCCAGCTTGCCTGTTTCTTCTCTTCACGCTAATTACGCTACATACAAACGGGAAACATCTCCAATATAGTCCGCGCTTGGTGAGGGGTTTTTCTGGTTTGTTGGCGTGGTTGGCGTGGTTGGCGGTTGGTATCAAATAATAGCACGACTCTCTGCCCTCTTTTTGATTATTCTGCTATCCTCGGGTAACTTTTAACAAGTTGCATAAGATTCCATTTTATTTTTGTTTGTTCCCACCCCTCTTGTAATGTATGTACAATTTCCCCTCTTGAGTGAGCTGCCTGCTCTCTGAAATAATAATATCTTTTGTTATTGAGGTGGTGAAATGATTCGTTGTATCGAATCGGCGGGTTTCGCCTGTGGCTGATGTCTATCACAAGCCCAACACCGATGATTTGCATTCTACGCGGAAGCTCAGGCCACCAAGCAGTCAACGCTCAACTCGTTTTCTTTTTCTCGTTCTAGTTTTGTCCCTTTTCCTCTTTATTTTGATAAATGATAATAACCGGGAGAAGAGATGCTCTTTTCTGTATATACGTGATTCACCTACTTCTTCCACGCATGACAAATCTATCATGGACATAGTTACATCTTTAAGACAAAAAAAGGATCATTATTTTACTCACCGCCCGTTCTCAGCTCAAAAATAATAGCCAACTTTGGCTATTTTCTCCGCCTCCTCCGCCGCCGGGCTGGATGAAGTCACATTCACCGGGCTCCTCTTGTTTTTAGCAATTTATACAGACACTCCCATTTTTGATAAAGACACCCTCACTAAAATTAATCAGGTTTAGATCAGTAAATATGTTCAGAACAGTTTTTGAGATCTAATATTAAAATTAAGACCATCAAATAGATTTCTGGTTCTGAATTATTTATTATTTGAAGATATTTTTATAGAAAATATTCTTGTGAAAGTTCTTTCTCTCTCTTCTTACATGGTCAAATTGCAAAGAGGAAGAAAGAAGAAAAAGCAAAAAGAAAAAAGCACAACTGATAAGGCTTAGACAGTCGATAATGAAATTCAATAGCTATCATTCTAATCAAAGAATGAGGGAACAAGTGATGTTCTAGACTCTCACATGTGTTGATTATGTTTGGTGCATGATTGGTGAATAATTGCATGTGTGAGAGGCCCAAAACAGCTTGCATGAAGCCGTACAATGATGTTTGAAAAATAAAATAAAAGATAAATAAAGATAAAAGAAAAAGACATTTTTTGAAAGAAAGTGTAAAAAAGAAGCTCGCATCAGAACAAGTCACGCCTCTGGTTGAATGCCAAGGGATGAAAAGAGAGGCGGCACGTATACAGAATTATCAGCAGAAGACAGGGAAATAAACGTAAGGTAGAACAAAAGAGCTCCTCCTATATAACTAACTGTTATATATCTTGTCATGCTCTCCCAGAATGTCGTGTAAGGGGGAACAGAACAACGCATTCCTTGGCACCATCACATCAAGGACTCGTTCATTCTTTTCAAGAATTTTTTTCCCCGGGTGAGGGAATGGAGTGTCATATTTTGATCGCAGGGTCGCATTTTCTGAAGTTTGAAGGGCGGGAAGGCGGAATAAATGTATTAGAAAGAGCATTGAGAGTCAATAAATTCAGCAAGTAATAAACCAGCTGAGTTGTTGATTCTTTGTATTTTTTATTTATTTTTATTTTTATTTTATTTTATTTCTCCTGCTCCTCTTTTCTCAAGTTATAAAATACTCAGGCACTGTTGAACAACAACTATAAATATGACAAGTAACGGCCGACATACTGTGTTCTGTATGGGGTTATGAGGTGGATTTCAGTAGCTCCATCATTGGCATCAACATATAACTGTCTAACGGACAAAGTTTCTATGAAGAAGCACTTCGTATGAGGACGGTAAGGATAAGCGCGCGAGATCTACTGTGATGTGATGTGAGGGCTTTCAGGTCTGAGTCGGTGGCATTAATATCTACCTGATAAAGCATCTAGCTTCCTGCCTTCCCCTCAACTGACCTCCGTCCATTACATCCATCGCTTGTCAACGGCATGGCATGTCAACCACAAAAGAGAGGTGTGTGGATACTGAACGGTGCCGCGTGGGGGGAATGATCGCGAACATATTCGTATTTTTCTTTCCATTCGAGATGGTGGATGGCATGGCTTGGATTTCAAACAATCTCACATACGGGGAGGATTTGTAGATTCAAGGCACTTTCGATGTGACGAAGGAGTCATGGCAGCTCTCTTTTTTTCTACTCTACTCGTGTTGCCATTTTGCTTCTGCTTATCCAGTTGGCCACATACAACATAGGATATCAAACTATGCTCACGGACGCAAGTACCCAGCCTGAGTAAATCCCCCATGTTTTATCCCACATTTTTTTCTAATCCTTACCGCAGGATGCAGGAAAATGCCCAAAAATATGAATAATGAGCAATTGGATGCAGGCAGAGTTCCGCTCCGGAAAGTCATCTAGAGATTCCGAAGCCTCCAATCCTGTTCCAAGTCTTACCTTTACCCCTACTCTTCATTAATGGGGCGATTAACCCCTCTCACTGCTCAGTAGTGATTCTAGTGAAGGTGTCTGACTGGCATTTGCAAAAGATACGCGAGGATGAAAAAGCACTACTACTCCGTACTTCTAGTTGAGGTTCATCTGCGTGGATCCTCAGGTCTCAGGCGGCATCAAATCAGAAATATCCCGCAAACCCAAACCACCCGCTCATGTCTCTCCTCCCTCTGGACCGATCTAAGGGCAATCTAAGACCATAGCGCTCTTGTTCGGGAATTTTTGATTATAAAAAATACAATCTTATATAAGGTAGATATTTACCTGGCAGCACTTGTTTGAAACACAAGAGGGGAATTGATCTGTGGGTGATTCAACATACCGCTCCCCTTCTCGTTTCATCACTATAACTAACATTTATCTACATTCTTCATTGAGAATCACAGAGATTCATAAACAGAAACAAGAGAATAAAAATGAAAAGAAAGAAAGAAAGAAAGAAAAAGCCACATCTACTCATCTATCTCATCCATATCAACAGTACCTTCTTCCTCATAGCTTCACTCCCCCATTTCTTTCAAATACACGTCTCACCCCGTAAATGACAGAACCGCAATACGCCCGACGTCGTATCCGGAAGTATAAATGACGGGCGCCACGTAAAATATAAAGCCGCAGTGACCAAGGCTAATTAATAATCTGCCACAATCTCCACTGCCACATCCATCGCCATTTCCCAGGCCAGGTTTCTTCTGTTGGGGGTCCCGCGGTTGGTCGGCCCTTCTACCAGCAGGCGCTGGTGGTGATTGAGCTCTTTGCCCCAGTAGCCTACATCTTCGTGATGTATGGATGCTGCTGAACTAAGCCTTATTTTGTCTCATCTGTCAGTGACATGATGAGAATGTAATTCCTGATAAAGACAAGTGACTATTTTCTTTCTCTTTCTTTCTTTTACAAATTCTAACTGGCTCAATTCAGCTGTGATGATGTAACCCCGTCATAGAATAGTTACATTGATATAGACAAAGTAACTACTGTGTACTAACTTACCGACCACCTGTGGACAAATATGAATGTGAATGAAATGCATCACACTCATTTCTATGCTGCTGCAATGAAACGCTTATGATATGCTGTACGCAGACAGAGTCTTTTATCCCGCCTATATCACCAACTCAACCAACCAGGCCTAGGTTTACAGAAACTCAGGTAATACTCAGAAGTAAAGATGGGAGGAGAGAGGGAAAGAAAAGAAAATGAAACCCGCTCCCCTGACTTTTGAGATTTGAATAGAATAGAATAAATATCTAGCAAAATACATAAAAAATATAGCAATCAGTTCAACTCTCTATGCCAACGCTCTTCTCTGCTGCACCTGTGTGGTAAAACAACTCTGCAGTTTTGTTGCACCACTTAAGCAAGCAAGCAGCAATGACTAGCAACATATAAGCAATGTTGTTAACATACTGAGATGAGTGGTGACAGGAACAGAAATGAAATTGGTTCGCCCATACAGAGTTTTTGCGTCTCATATTTTATTTTATTTTATTTTATCTCCTCCAGGTTTTTATTTATCTCATATAGCCTTCTAGATATACCTATTGCAGCTAATACGGCTGCCAACAAAGGCCGAACGCAAATACAAATATATGCCGTTCGGGCTACCGGTAACTTAGTTGAGGCTTCCTTGTTAGAGATTTTGTTCCCCCGGAAAATATCTCGGGATAGACCATAATCAAAAATGAACAAAAAATATCTTCCTGCTGTTACTCTTTTCCGTTTTTTTTTTCTCTTGCTCTCTTTATATAATAGTTACTTCCTCTTCTTGCTTCTCACCGTGCTCTACAACCTCAGCCTTTTCTATACTGCTCTTACTACCTCTAACGCTTGTTCTCTCTCTCTCACTATCTCCCATCGAAGATGTCGTTAGCTGGAGCAGACCCCCTAGAACTAGCCACAGGGCGCATCCATGCTCTCAATTTTGCAGATACGGACAGCTGCATAACAATCCTCTACCTTAGGTACATTACATACCGTTCCTTATTATATTATTATAAATGATACCCACGCTCAACATACACGGAGTCCTTTTTTCTTACATTGCTTTATGGATAGCTAGGGTCAACATGGTGGTTAGAAGGGGGAGTTGGATGTAGGTAGGTAATGTGTAGTTATCACTTCTCTTCTGCTGTTCCCTTAAATAGCCTCTTATCAGGGTGTTTCAGCCGGCCATTTGCTTCTGACCATCTCACTCCGGTCACTTTTTTATATTGTCTTTTATTTTTTATTGCTCGCGAACATGGCGCTAGGGTATTGTCGTCTCGAGGCGGTTAATATTTAACTCGTTAACCCCCCCACCTAGGGAGAAAACCAAGTCCTCACTCAACCTGAGCGACGCTCCCTGATTTCTAAACGGCGAAGTTTTTGATATGAAAAAGACAAGGCAGCCAATATAAACAACCCGTAATCATCAAAAGTGTGTGAATACTTCTGACTAGAAAATGAACATGCTGTTCTTCATCACTTGTGTATATCAAACTCAGTTTATGCAACCACTACTTGATGAGATTATTGATTCATCATATCCTCCAGCTATTGATCTACACCACTTGAATGATCTCCTCTTAGATGCTTCATTCTCATGGAAACTAACTGTTCATGAAGTCTCAAGACACTAAAATTGCTTGCATTTGTCCACACAGGTATGTATTTAATTTCATTCACCCACTCTTGCTCTTTTTCACATGTACTATTCATAAGCCAATTTTTTGACTTCATTAGATGCTAAGCCTAACAAGGTCCTTGTCAACCACAGGACAGAAGACGTCCGCTCCCTCCACTAATGTCCAGTTGTTGGATATAAAAAGCACTGTTCCTGCCCCTTTGGCATGTGCAAAAAACAGCAATATGACTGGAGCGCTCTTTTTCTATTAAGAAATTGCAGGTGTGGAAACGTTGAATATTCTCTCATACTTATTCATCAGTTTCTGCCATCAGGAAAGCAGAAACCTTTTCGCGCGGATTTCAGCGAACAAGGTGCCAGAAGACGACAGGGATTTTACCTTCAAGATCATGAAATTACATCCGAGGGATAGATAGGCCTTTAGCTGAAGCACTGTTGAAGGATGAGTGGTTTCGTTCAGTGTTGAATAAGCTACTTACTGTTCTTGTATATTTATTTCGTGGTCCTACCTAGGAAACCTACGATATAGTCCAGGGGAAATGCAGCTGTAATATTCGTAGCTGAAGATGAAGAGGAAAGAAAGGGAACGGAAATGAGTTGGGGGGAGATGTCCCAGCATAAAAAGGCATGATTACCGCTGGGGGGACCCTGAACAAATAGTGAAGTGAGTGGTTCGGGAAAAGCGCTCCCTCCCATTTCTTTGCCTCGAAGAAAAGACACCATCCCCTTATCTCAGCAAGCTCAGACGCTTCTCCAGATATTCATTGCTGTTTTAACATTGGATTGATGATTATGTCATGAGCTAACCTCAAATAAGCAATAAGCTAACCCAAATAGTAAAATCAGGTCATGTGAGTGATAATATCTTGCAAAGTGTCTGAGAAGAAATGGTTCCTGGTTATTAGCAACACAGGAATGATTTGCTCAGTACCCTGAGTATGGAAGAGAATTCCAACTCAACTTCATAGATTCATCATTTCTGTATCACCTTAGAACCTTAGAATAACAATGTTCTCGCGATGTATCTGATTTTTATATTCATATCTCAAGTTCTTAGGATAGAAGTATCACCTCAAAGTTGATCAGTGTGTTTTTGAACACAGGAATTTTGATCCAATTTCTCATACAAAAAAAAGCTCTTAGAAATTCTGAGATCAAAAAATATGATCATTTTCAAGAGTATACATCTATCTTAAATATAGATTTTTTTGAAATATTAAAGAAATATTTCTATTCTTCTTCTCTTTAGCTATAAGCTAAGGTGATTTTCAAATCTCAAAGATATGTGGATATATAGTAATAGAAAGTCAAAGTTGAAGAATCTGAAAAATCCTTGTAAATCTCAGGAATCTTCATTGAAGATGGAACCATTTCTTCTCAGACCCTCTGGCGAGGATTGCTCTGAGCACATGACTTGTATCAAAAGTAGGTTAGTGTCATGCCGGATTAGTTAATAATAATGCTGCAACCCGTTCAAACCGAGCCAGAGGGTCTGAGCCCGCTGAGATAAACCATCCCCATGTCTCGAGTCGAGACTCCTTGCGTTTGCAAGACGCACGCGGCTTTCAGCTTTCAGCGCCCTCACAAGGAAATTCTATTACACATCCGAAGCAGGCGGGCATAGCTTAATTTATCATTGGTAAATACGGACTATGTCTCCTTTAAGAGTAGATCTCTTTATCATAGTAGTAATAATGCATATTACAACGAAAATGGGAAACAACGTCAAAACCAACTCAAATTGATTAAATTGATTTAACGCTAAGCGAGAAAGGACGGGGGAGGGGGGAAAATAAAGAAGAAAAAAATTTCTCAAGCAAAAAACATGCCAGGCCCAGTAGCTTAAGTAGTTAATTAAAAATGAAACAAGAAAGCAGTTAAGCCACTCAAGCAAACCATAACGGAGGTCGAAACATTAAACACAGTTTGAGCTTTCCATTTCGCGTGCTAGTTATTGCTAGTAGTGCTAGATTGCCGGTAGGGTACGTCCAGTAGTTTGAGAGAGCATGAAGCAGAAATGAAGGAGAAATACAACAGAAATAACAGCAGGAAGAATAGCTGATAGGATTTGATGTTTGCTTAAATTATTTGAGAGCCAAGGTGTGTTGGGGGGTGAGGGTTGAATGAAGCGGGTAGCGAGAGATTTCATATCTGAGGGAGTAAAGGGAAGTAGAAGGGACAGGGGGAAAGGGGGAACATGAGGTTGAGTGGGGTCATTCATTGGACGGATGGACGAAGGGATGGATGTGTGGATGAGAAATTTTTAAGTACAAGCGAATGGTAACGTGGAGGAGGGTGTCACGAGATGAATTAAGTTACGAAGTTAAATAGGTACTGGTGGATAGATAGGGGGCATGCTCCATGGTGAGCGCAGAAGGGAAGGAAAGGACCACAATTTTTTTCCCTTCAATTATCGTCACCCTCGTCAGGTTGCTCGAATAGGAAATTTGCTGCTAGTTCCTCGTTCTTGTCACAGGCGAAGTAGGCTTGGATAACGGAGTCGCGAGGGAATCCTAGACGGCAGAGCTACAAAGACAAAGCAAAAAGGATGCGTGTTAGTTTAATGTGTTTATTTGGAGAACCAATGAATTGAACGAAATCAAGGGAAGAGTGAAGCGTCATCCATACCCTTTCAATTGCATCTCTTTCCTCCTCCGTCACAGTGATCTGATGCGTGCCTGGCGGTAACTGTGCATCATCATCGATATCTTCGCTGAGTAACTGGAGAAACTGATCCTGGTTCTGCCCAATGAGTTGCGCGAGTTGTGGGTTACCAGCGCCAACTTGTTGCAGGATTGGCTCGAGCATCTGCGGCTGTTGCTGCACGAGCTGTCGTAGCTGTTGGAAATGGGGGTTGTTCCGTAGGAAATCTAAGTTGCCAAGACTTCCTCCTTGCCCTTCGGCTGCTGCAGCTAGTCCCTGTCCTGCAGCTCGAGCGCCGCGCCCGGTTGCACCCGCTTGGGGCGTGCCAGCTTGTGCTGCAGCCTCGAAAAGGTTGACGTGCTCATCGCCTTCAGTGGCTGCTGCTGCTGGCGCTGCGCCGCCGGTAGGAGCCGTTGTCGCTGGCGGCGCAGGGGCGGCTTCTCGTTGCTCAGCCTGAGAGGTTTCTGGGATGCCCTTGAGAGGGTCAGCGGATCGTTACGAAGACAAGGAATTACCCAAGGGCTTACATTTAGGAGATACTCGATGGCTCGATCTGGGTTAAAAAACGCAGCTCTCATAGCTCGATCTATGTCACTTCTTGGGAATCCCATAGACTCCATCTGTGCGATTACTTGTTCACCCTGAGGGCCCATAAGAAGAGCTGACGGGTCGTTGAACGTAGCGGCACCACCCACAGCTGGGGCAGCAGCTGGAGCTGCAGGCGACGGCGTAGCGGGGGCATCTGAAGTGGTTGGATTGGAGCGGGGGGCGGGAGCTGTAGGGGTTGAAGCGGCGACGGGAGCGGGAGTCGAAGGAGCCTGAGAAGATGCGGCTGCTGACGTTGAGGGGGCTGGTTTAGGCTGCACCCAAAAGTAAAGCGAAGACGTTAGTAAACCGAACATGGCGAAATTTTCAGATAAAGGTGAAGAAGTAAATACCTTTGAGACCATGCACACTATGAAGCCTTTCTCCTCGATGTTATATGATTCAATAGTATTTGCATCTTGTAGAATTTTGCCTGCGAAGAAAAGTCAATATTATGAACTATGCAAAGAAAAAAATAAAAAAATAAAAAATAAAAAAATAGATGAGCCCTCCTCATATCACATCATTCTGCCCCACTTCCCAACAGCTATCAAATACCAGTGAAAGTACAACTGCGGGAAAAGTCTAGAACCAGAGAGGAAGCAGATGAAACATCGGGAAAAATATCAACGATAAATAGGAAAGAAAAATGAGATGACGAACCCGAATAGATAAGTTTCTGTTGCGCGACATCCCAGCCCTTCTCTTGGGAAATCTTCTCCTTGACCTGGCCAACCTGTTGGATAGATAAGGTATTAGCAGGGCTGCCTGCGTCAAAACGTCATGATGGCAACCAGTCATGACGGGGGAAACTTGGTACAAGCGTATATATCTTCTTGTATATATAGATATATTTTTCTATGGACATATACGAAATGAGGGGCAGGCGTACCGTCTCCGAAGGTTCGGCCTCGATCACGAACTTCTGCTGCTTCAAATCCTACCAAAATGAAAAAAAAATATCATCAGTATATAAACTTCGAAGAAAAGAGCTGTGTTTATCCTAATCAGGGGAGCGAGAACGGTGGGAAACGGGTATGAACATACTCTAAACGTCAACTTCATCTTGCGCCACCGACGAGGTTCAACTGGGGGGCAGTTGATGAGAGAGGGGAAATGATATGAATAAAGCAGGTGGGTAGAAGAAGACTGGAGAGATAAAGCGGGACGGGTTATAAGCTATGAGGACGATGGAGAGCAGCTGGGCGTAGGAGGTGGCAAGGAACTGGTGGGGGGATGGAGGGGAAGAAGCAACGCGAAGAAGTCAGGAGGAAGTCAGGATGTCAGGATGTCAGGATGAGCTGGATGCGGATAAGTTGGCTGGAGCGGTTGCGTCTGCTGGGGCTTGCAAAGGCCTGCCTTCTGCTTGCTGGCTTGGCGATTGGCTGACGTAAGCATGTCACCACGTGATTGCGGCTGAATTATGCCAAGCTTTTGTACCTTGGTTGTCGATCTGGGGGTTGTACAGCATATCATATCTATAGGCATAATTTCATTGTGATAGGCATGCAGGCATGCTGCTGTTTCTGAAACAATGATCACTGATGAGTGCATGCAATGTTAAAGGGGAGAAGGGCTCTATAGTGTTAAACTAGTATATGTCAAAGACTGGTTAATGGAGTGGAAGGAAGAAGCAAAGAGAAGAAAGTGTACGTATTATTTTTATTTCCATCAAAGTATGTACGTAAATGGATGGCGTAATTCAATATACTTTGCACTGTTAAAATTATGAAGCGCCAACGCTTCCATGCCGTCCAAATGCAAAAATCATCTCTATATAGAGAATTAACCTTTCTAATGTTCCGATTTCTTGTTGCGCCTCTTTCTCTTTGTCCCTCAATTTCTCGCAAAAAGGGCATAAAATAACGCGGGTGGGTAAGGGAACAATGTGGGTTTATAACAGATAAAACCCTGGTATAGGTGAATAGAGAAAAGTGATCGCGACATTAGAAATATTAAAGGAGAAGTGATTCCGATATCCCGAGGAAGAGACAAAAAAAGAATTATGAGACAGGTTCAAATACTGTTTTGAGCTCCCGGGGCCCTGGTGGTCCGCATTTCCCGTAGAGCTCGCAGAGGCATTGCGATTCGGATATGCAGCTGCTTGAAACAAACAATGTTTAGTTAAGTCAAAAGCCGTTGTGTTGAACCAAGCAAAAAAACCCAAAATATATAAACCCTCTAGGCGAAAGGGTAAAGGAAGCAGACAAGAAATCTAACTCACTATACTGGCGGCTGACCAAAAATCACATGCCATAGCTTCTCGAACACCCACCCGACATCATAATCATTCATCGGCCGAGACCCTGACAATACCCACGATCTCATCCGCTCGTAATCACTCAGCGGCCTCTGCAAAATTCGTTCTCGCGTCACCACAAACTGCGCACAGCACACTGAACCAATTACGTGCGGTACCTCCTTCACATCATCTATCTCGAACAAATGTGCATAGATATTGGCAAAGCGTGAGCGGGTGTCGTTCAGCTCTACCTCTACCAAGCTCGGGTTATGCGGGAGGACGCTGGAGGGCTCGCAACCTGGGCTGTTCCGGCAGCGCAGGTTTACGTACCCTCTCTCGCGAACGGTCTCGAGGCGCAGCCGGCGGAGAACGTGGTCGTTATAGTAGCCGATATCTTGGTTGTGCCATTGTCTATTGTTGGCGTGCACGAAAGCAACGATATCTGGGAGGCTGTGGTAGTGGTCAATTATAAAGGTGAGGTAGGGCATGGATTCGCGGCCGCGGTTGGGCACGCGCAGGCCATAGCCTGGTTCGTCGTCGACGCTGTAGACAAACGGAGTCCATCTGTTTTTGTTATATTTTAAGTCAGAAGCCGGAGGCATGTAATTTACCAAGGGAGATGCAGGCTATGCATGTTTCTTATTCGATTTTTGGAGGGTCATCTAGGGGAACATGCTAAGATACTAACTCTGGGAACATCGAATATGCCCAATTCGCATTCTCCCCCTTCGTTTTGCCCATCACAATGGCCAGTGGAACACCAAAGGAGTCTGGTATTACAAGATTCGTTGGTGGCGGAACTGAAATGCGAAATCTCAAGATGATGTAGTGTGTCATAGTGAGGAAAGTGCATAATAGCAGCGCGCACGCCAGCGGCTTGAGCTTGCGGTGCCTAGCCGCCGGCCGACGAAAACTGACAAACATCTCTGGTGGTGTCGGGCCTGGCGGGGGCGGAAATGCTTTCGCAATCGGGCGGCTGCCCAGGAATCCAGGAATGACAAGGGCCAGAATAAATCAATTCATGCGAAAATTGGAGCTGTTAGATTTGGGGGGGAGGGGGGGAATGACATGATGAAGCACACCGGCCCCCTTAATTCCTTACAAGGCGAATACAAGGAGTGTCGATAGCAGAGTAAAGTTGTAGGCAGAGAGCGAGACACAGAGAGCCTGGAGATGGGAGTGGTATCGGCTGGATCGTGGAAAAAGAAAGTGACAGCGCCCCGACAGGGGGAAGATTTCATTCTTGCCTGTCCATTTTTTTCGAGCTTGAGGTTGTCCGATATCAAGCTAAGGAATAAGTCACCGATCGAGGCATGCGCGCTAGCATTTTAGAATTAGAAAGCGTTGGACGAGAAGCACTTGGCTAAAAACGAGTCGAAAGGCTCAAGAAATGAGTCCAGATGAACAGAATTATTATTATTGGGCCATCCTCTGGCTTTCGGGCTTTCTTTCTAGTCGGGGACGCTAGGCGACATCAATTTGGGAGCCGACGCGGGCATTGGTGTCATGCTGGTTTGGTGCAGGTTAGCACAGGTGGTTGAATTGGGCATCTTCTCCTACGCTGGTTGTCTCGCCGTGCTTCGGCTTCCTTGCTCTGCCTGGTAAAGAGAGGAGACATGTAAAGAGGACGATGAGGCGGCAACAGCAGCCTCACGCAAGCCTTTCAGGTACGGTACGGACAGCTCTATAACTTCCTCACAAATTGCTTGGAGCTTCGGAGAACGGGAGACATGACTAGAGCCTTAGTAGCCGCCAATTTCTTGATCGAGCTTAGCTGGTGGACATGGGTGGACGCTTAGCTTCATTAGATTGGTTAATTATCCTCCTCGTAAAGTGCAAATCGAAGCCTCCAAGTGACCTTCCAGAGATGGGTAAACAGAGTTCACTAGATCCACATCTGGTCTCCTTTCACGAATAATAATAGCTTGTGACTCCCAGAAGACACCTTTATTAGCGTTGGACGTTTTGTGACTTCCCATTGTATGTAATCGATCGAACGTGGACTTTATTGATGTTGCCAAAAGACCGATGCCGCGCTTGACCTGCTTGGTATAAATTCAATTTTGAGGGCTGATCGTCGGCTTCTTGTATCTATTATTAGGTGCGATTTATGCATGGCTGACAGGTCCCAGCCGATGAGCTGGGACTTTTGGGGCCTGGTGAACGCCCATGCATGAAGAGAATAATTGAATCATGGTTGGTGAACATCTCAGCCAGTGGAGCCCATCTCGGCGTGATTCAAGAGAGTAGGTGCCTGGAATCACCACTTCACCAGAGCACAGCTAGGAGATCGTATTTCTCGAAATCAATGAGACTATGGTTCCCAGGCATACTTTTCGTGCTCTCAATTGGGAGGTAAACCAGAGCATCAGACCCGGTTCCACAATCTGTACCGGGACCCGTCATCAATATCTTCCCTTGTGCTCAATCGAACTGCTGTGAGGACTCAATCGAACTGAGAATTCGAGACAGGAAAAAGAGTCCTTCCGCCGAGATTCAGCATGACCAGGAGAGTGTTGGTAAAATGTTGAAGGTCCACTGTTTGGTCCACGGTTATTGTATAGTGCCAGAGAGCTGAAGTTTAGAGTTCCCGATAATGATTTCGCTAGTGCATTGGCAGGCCAAAGATGTTGGGTATTGCTAGCACTCCGCATCTCCAATCCCCCTCCGGGGAACCGCTCGAGGTAAAGAGTTTGTCTGAGTCCTAGGAGCTGATGTCGAAGGGGGATCCTGAATCCAAGTCAGATCCGCACGTCACGTGTGACAATCCGGCCGGACATCTCAGTAATTCCGGCAGGGACAGCTTGGGTGCCCTGAGTCAATATAGTAAGCGTTTATATACAAGTCCGGATATCAGTATCTAAAGTAAAGTACCTAAGACTCGATTGGAAGTTTGGAAATCTGGTCAACTCATGGTTTGCTTGTATCGTAAGATGGAAATGAGCTATAGAGAAGGCATGCATCTATCTATCTGACATTGGCAACACCTTCGAAATTCCAGGCCACACATATATATACAAACGCCGCGAATCAAAAACTACATCCTTGAATTTAAAAGGCATGTGAGCAGAAACCACCACATGAGCCAGATATATCAACTCTTCCCTATTCGCCTGCGCTCTCATCTTCCGCGCCACTCCCCTCCCCCTCACTATCATCATCACTAACCTCCTCCCCCTCCTCCCTCGCCTTCTCCTTCCTCCTTCGAATCCGCTCCCTCTTCTTCTCAAGCAACCTCCTCAACTTCTTTGCCGTATTAAACACTCCGCCCGTCCCAGCCCCGCACGCCGCACACGACGGGTTCTTCCGATACCGCTGTAACGCACATGCTTCGCAGAAGTAATGCCCGCACTTGGTAACAATCGGCTCCTTATACGGTTTCTTGCAAATCACACACGCGAACGGGATGTTCTCCAGTAGCTCATCCTCATCCTCATCCTCGTCTTCGCCTCCGCTCGCATTCGCATTAGCAGACCCATCTCCATATCCGGCCTTCGACGCCCGACTCGCAACCGTCCGCCCAACGACCTTCTTCCCCTTCGTTCCAATCTCCCAATCCCGATCCAGCTCCCAGCCCGCCTTGTAGTCCTCACGCGCGTGAAGGAACTTACACCCATCCCCGAAGCCGCAGTACCCCGTCAGCTTGTAATCCTTGCAGACGTCCGGGGAGTAATCGGTAACAGTGATAGTTCTGATATTCGTGGGGGCTTTGATGGGGCCGAACTGCTTGGTGGGCGCGTAGGGGTTCTTTTGGATGAAGGATTGGTAATTTGCTGTGCCGCGGTATGTGCCGTCCGCATCTAGATTTGACGCAGCGGCGGTAGTAGGTTTGTTTCTGGTGTTGCCCAGTAGATTCTTTGCGCTCAGCAGTTGCTCGTCACGTTCTTCATCGAACCAGTTTGACTGTTTTGTTGCGTCGTTTGTTTGCTGAAGTGCGAAGGGGGCGGTGGCGGTGGGTGTGGAGCTGCGATTTGCACCGTCATCACTCACACGAGGGCCGGCTCTCTGACCCTCTGCACCTGTAACCGCTGATGACGCGGTTACTGTGGCATTCTTTCGTCTGCGCTTGATTCTGCGCCCGCCTTCTTCATCGGAGTCGGAAAAGTCGGAGCCTGAGCTGGAGGCTGGGGCCGGAGGAGGCGAGGAAGCTTTCTTGCGGAAGCTGGATTTTGCTTTGGCCGATCTTTTCTTAAATGAGATTTGGGGCGCGGGATGTTCTATTTGTGTCTCGTCCATGGTGAGTATCTGTGTTGGATTTTATTACTTCGATGAGATGTCATCGAAATGTTTTACACCACCTCCGTCGATCTCTTGTCTTTGCACCTTAATAATCTCACAGACATTATTGGGTTCCAAGGTTGGGGCAATGAATCCACGTGATTTCTTGGCGGTATACTCAAACGCTCTGTCCAATAAAAGTGCGAGTATGCGCTAAGGTTCTACCCGTGGCGTAAGTTTAAAGGCAATTTTCTTTCAACACAGAAGTATAGTATGGAGTACACAACCTTGTATCGGCATTATTAGTTAAGCCAACCATGGCATAAGCCAAAGAAGAGTGGGAGCCAGATTTAGATCTGGTCACACCGTTGAGAATCATGGGAGTCGATGAGGACAATACATCCCATAACACATGTACGTACTAGATCCGCCAGGCTTTTCCTCCCAGCCGCCTAGTCACCGTCTTCCACGTCGTTTGTAGTCGCCTCTCTTTCACTTCTTTCAGCTTTCTGCCAGGCTCCTTTGTGCCCATCTTCTTTCAGCAGTCCATCCATCCCCAGGTTCTGCCTTGTCACCAACTCTGAGTCCTCATCACTACTCACCATCTCTCTTCATCCTCAGTTCTGCTTGCTATTTAGCTATCAGATGCAGGCTTGCTACTACTCATGGTGGATGAAGCTTCTCTATATCGAGCTCTCGTGTCAAGTTTCTTATTAAATCCTTCTCTCCAGTCAATCCCAGAGGAAGAGGACAGACACTCATGGCGTTTTAGCACTATCGGTAGCTTCAAAAGTCCACTGCTCAGAACATGGGATAGCTGGTCCGGTAGCCAACCGGATCAAACAAAGCGGATGCTATCAAGATCGCCACGCCAAATTCTAGAGACTTTGAGCACTCGAGGAGAATTTTGGCTATTCACGCCGACTACAATGATTGAACGCCAACTCCTTTTATTTCGTTTACAGCCTCTGCGAGGGAGTTACAAAGAATTGTAGAACATAGGACAGCAAACCGGGGTGCTCAGACAATTACTGCCGTTAGCCCAAATATACGAATAGCAGATGGCCTTCCAATCGTCAACATGGATGCTGAAATGCGCTACTATGGGGTACCTGACTCCTACCAACAATCCTATCAATATTACAAGGACGAATATCTTTGTTTATGGGAAGTCACAGTGCACGAAATTGTTGGGCATTGGCACTGGGATGAGCTCGATGAAACTAGCAGTTGGTACGAGAAGATTATATTGCCTGCGTTTAAAAATCATAACGAGATACACCTTGCGGGTCGAGAGGTTCTTGATATGTTAGATTTATTGGATGCTTTGGCTGGCAGCTCGACACTGTTTGGAAATGACCGACTTAGTCCATGTGGATCATTATATTCAGGCTGGCACATATCAAGTGAAGAAGACAATATCTGCTTTGAGGATGAATACGGCCTGTCCGACACGGACGACGAAGCCGAAGAGCCTAATTTAGTGGACGATATGTTTAAAATACTCGAGGGGGATTGGTTATGATCATGGCATAAATTACAGGATTCTGTGACTACTATGGTCGTCCGCTTTTCTTCCAGCCTGTCACCCATCTCCAGATACGGGGTGGGACCCTGCCCTCTTCGATGAATTTGCGAAAACGACCTTTGCAGAACGAAATTAAAATGAAAAGCCCCTTTTTGAAAGAAAAATCCTCAGTAATCTCCTTCATCTCCAAATTTCACAACAACTGACATCTTTTCGCGACCCAACCTCTTGCTTCCAAGATTCGCGGTTTGATTTGACTGTTTCCTTGTTGCTCTAATAATTACCGTCATTCGCAATAATACCATTCTCCTCCAGCCCACTCAAAAGCTCGAGGATGATATTCTGGCTGAAAAAACTTGATAAGGGCACTCGAAATGCGTGGAGGCCGTGTTTATTTCAGATAATGTGTGAAGAGGGAAAATAGAACCGGTCTTTGTTGAAAAGAGAAGGGAAATTTCAGGGCAGAGTGCTTTCAGTCTAGTCAAGACCTACTTTCCACAAGCCAGAGACCACATAATAATGGAGGCTATATTTTGATAGTAGAAAATTGCTGTAGATGCCACAGTCTCTTAACACTCAAGAGAATAGCTTCAGCTAGATCTGCGAGACCACTTGCTGACTTTGTGCACTGGGATCAAGTACACGAGTTTGAGCCATTCGATGTTGAGGAAAGAGGTGATATGAAACTCCTGTGTAATAAGTGTGCTCGGTTTTGTCATCTGGCAGCTGAAACTGGCTGGCAAGGGGGAAATGGAGGAAGCATTGCTTAGTAGGGAACGCGGCTGCGGACTGTATAATTAGCTTAGTGAATGGCCTCTATTACATTACAAATTAGTAACCTATGAATAACTAATGTATGTAGAACAACATATTTTATACAGATGTACTAATATGATTTAGAAAAGTACGTTACTTGATGTATTTATCAAATACAAATTGAAGTTGAAATTTTTTCCATTCAACTCAAATGGTGCTATGCTTCTAAATCTTGATGTTCTTCAATAATCAGTCAGTGTACAGAGTAGACAGTTCTCACTTGTGTATCTGATGAGAGCTTGGGGTCAACACTGATAATGATAAAATGCCTCCATGTCCTGTGTTATGTAGTAGAGGTACAGCACAGATCCAAGGTAGTTGACTGATTCCAGAAGCACTGAATGCAATTGGCTAATTGGAATGATTATATAGTGTTAGCATACTTCTTGTCTGAAACTGTGAGCTCATCACCAGTCTTTCTTTGGTTTATCACACTGACCCTCTTTGTTGCTGTTGCTGCTGAAGAAGATCCAAATCAGACCTTACTGAGAAATCATGTTGTCAGTATCTGCAAGATGGAGACTGCAGGGCAGCAGAAACAATTGTGCAATCGCAGAGATTGAAGTACTGACTTAGAGGATTCCAGAGAAGAAATTCCTTGAAATAACCGGAAGAAGTTCAATATATGCATTTGAGAATAGCAGACACAGAGAGAGAGTCCCAGGATCAATATCCATCTTGAAACGACGATGAGTATTTATAGGCTGTCGATGCACCATTGAAAAACTGTCGCTCTAGGCGGCTCCCCCCAACTGACGCCTAGAGACTAGAGGTATTTTCGGATGGACATATCCATTGGCGATTCTTGTTTTCGAAGACAGGAGGAACAGGCAATAATAATAATAATGGTTGCTGGTAGCACTGTTGATCGACAGACAGTGTGTCAAACTCTGGCTCCGTGCTGATTGATCTGGGGACTTTTTTATCGATAACTCCCAGCCCTCACTCCATGTGAATCGTATTGTTACAACTCACAGCGAAATTTTTTAAAAAAATGGTTCATAGTGCTGCTCCTGCTGCTGCTGCTGCTCATGCCGCGATAGTAACTTATTATTTTTTGTAGAGATAAATGACGTATTTCTACGGGCGGTAAACATTGTAGGTGCCCTTACGCTGTAATTGCCCCTAATCATAAGAAACGGACGAGATGGAAGCGTAATCAGAAGAATTAAGTCAAGAGCCAAAAAGTACTAAAAGAAGACTGAAACGTCCCACCGCCCCGGCCAAATAACGCGGAGCTTTTTCGCTGTCTTTTTTCCCCCTTCGTTTTCTTCTCTTTCTTTTTTTCTTCTGTTCCTCTCCCCATCCCCGCCTGATGAACACGGCCAGCAGGTCGTGGAAAAGAGAATCGCATATCCCAAACAGTTTTTTTTATATATTTCTTTTTTAAAAGAAGCTGTGTGCGTGGGTGATCAGTCATTCATTTAGTTTCTATTTTGTGTTTGTTGATTTCTTTTTTATTGAATTATTCTTGCCCACGGTCACTTATGATATTTATTCATTTTTCTCTTCGTTCTCGTAATCCCTAATGCTCCTCCTCTTCCAATAAGTATCTAGTCCCGTTTGTCTTCGTACGACGTGTCATTTGGTATTGATATTTTTCTTACAATTTTTCCCTGTTTTTTGTTATTTATTTATTTCCACCTCCATTTTGCCCGCGGGTGTGAGTGGAGAGAGTTGTCAGCGAGTTTCTGCCCAGTGTTGTACCCACGCCAAAACAAGCAAAACAAACGCGTTACTACATTGCCTAGCCCACCGCCCCGTCAACAAATCACCTCGCCCACGCCAACTCAGGACGCCACCATCCGGCCCTCTTCGCAATCCCATCGACGCAGAACGCTGCTCGGTGCATCCGACTGCTCTCCACCTTTGTCAGACATCGCAGTCCCAGCGTCAGGAATAGGGTCCTACTTTGGGTACAATACAGGGCTCAGCAGGGTCAGGGGTAACCAACCGCCTATCTCTCTCGTTTTATCTCCCACCCCTTCTTCAACCCCACGTCAATTGTGCTGCTCTGTGGTCTATCATCGCGGGAGGAGAGCTTGCTTCGTCTCCCACGTAAGCGGTGATAGCGAGATGTGGTTGCACGTCTAAACGACCAGAGAATCGAAAATCGAAAGCGAACGAAACCACGGGGAAGCAGAGAAGCGACAACTTTGGAACCATATCTATTCATAAAACTGGTTGTAGCGTGGTTTCTCTTTGATTTTAACCTCCGCCATCTGATGAGGGGCCCGTAGGCCACGTTTGCCAACCAACAGTAGCAACCTCTGTCACCGTCACCCGTCCGGGTGCAGCAGATCCTCTCTCCTCCATGGATGACCCGTTCGTCTCCAACTCCGGTTCAACCGGAGTGTTTGCCCAGCAACAGCAACGCGAATCGCACCGATATTCCTCTTTTGGCTCACAGCTCTTTACGCTCAATGCATCCTCACCGTCACAGGTGAAGCGTGCGCTCGAAGCCCATCTGGCAGAGACCGAACGCAGGTTGGAGGATGCTTCGAAACTAGGCACTGCGCTGGTGCAGCAGCAGAGGGAACTTTCGGACAAATTGAAGGAGATTGAACATCGGCAGGATGAGGGCGAAATCGGACCAGAGTTGCGGAGGAAGCTGGCGGAGTTAGAGAGGGAATATAATGATATTGGTCGGGAGGCTGCTCGTGCATCATTAGGCCCTAAGCCTCGGCTTGTTGCTACTGATGAGGATGGGCAGACCACCCCTTCATTTGATGGTCGGGTAAGTACTTCGTCTACTCTTGGAACTAGTTGATATTTTCCGCTCATATAAATGTTTTGTTTTTGGTGAGTTTTTGATTTTAATTTATGCATCTTTCGCCATTTTTTGTTATACATATACAGCATCCTGCCAGCCCCGCCGTACTCTCCAGCCAGGCCACTAGCTCGCCTACAAAGATTACTGTGCCGTCCAGAAGACAGCGGAATCAACAATCCAGTCGAGTCCACGACATCGAATTTGCGACGGAGATTAGTACATCTTTGCTCGCCCAAGTCCGCCAATTGCAGGGGCTTCTTGTAGAGCGGGAGGAAACTATAAAGTCCATCAATCTAGAGAAGTCCAGGCTTGAACTAGAAGCAGAAGCTTATACACAGCGCCTGCGCGCTCTTGATGATAACGAACAGCGTTACAAGGATGAGAATTGGAGGCTCGAAACGCAGACACAGGAACTGCTTGCCGCCGCTAAGGAAGCTGCTGTGAGGGAGGAAAAGTTGCGAGCAAGTTTGAATGCCGCCAATGTAGAGAAAACCAAAACGCAACGAAAGTTCGATGAGTTGAAGCAAGTCAACGAGAAGCTTATTGAGGATAATACGGCTACACAGAAGAGCTACGATTCTGAGCTTCATATTCTTCGGAGGAATGTGCATGTTGGAGATACAGAACGGAACTCTCTTCAGCAGAAAGTCGAAGAACTCACTAACCAAAACCAAGAGCTAGCCAAGGCTGTCGCTGCCAAACTTCGACAGCATGAGGCAGAGGGCGCCAGGGTCGTAGCTCCAGCGGGTAAGGATGATGAATCGGACGGTACCACTCCAGAAAATTCACCCCCTCCGTCTCCAAATAAGGCTACTCCGCGACATGGACATTTGGAATCTGAGACGCTGAAAAGCTCTCTACACCACGCTCACCGCATGATCCAGAATCTGAAGAGCAATATCCATCGTGAAAAGACTGAAAAGATTGAACTCAAGCGCATGCTCCAGGAGGCCCGAGATGAGATTGAACAGCGACGTGTGGAGACGGCTGCTCCGTCCAGCGCCAACAAACGCCAGAAGGGGAGACAAGATGTATTCAAAAAGCCTCCCCGGCCAGAAATGCTTGGTGCCAGGCGCGGCTTTGCCGAAATTGAAATCGAAGAACCTGATTGGGAGGACCATACCGTTGAAGCAAGTCCCACGAGGAAACCGAAACCGCAAGGCAGATTCAACCCGTTCCCATCATCTGGCCACTCTCGCACTCAATCCGCCGATACAAGTGACGCTTACCAAACCGCTAACGAAACGGAGGACGCCTTCGAGACTGCCAATGAGCGGGAAAACGCCACTGAGAGCGATGCCTTCCAGACCGTTGCTGAAAGCTTGGTTGGAGATACAACTGAAGAGGAGCTGACCGAAACCGAAAGCCGTTCAGGGCCTGCGACAACCGTCAGGAGTAAGAAGCCTCTGAGGCTAACCACCGCGAGGCCTGGCGATCGAACATCTTTCATGAGCACAGCATCGACATCAGACGACGAATTTGACGACAATGATTCGCGTACACCCGTTAGGATGCAACCTCAACGCTACAGACTAAAGATGCAACGTGGTCGCCGTGGGCGAGCTTCTGGAGATGTTGACATGGCACCCGAGAGTGGCAGCCTGAGCACGAGAAATTCTCCCGCTACTAGTTTCTCGCAAGGACACCCTCCAATCATACCATCTGGACAGAGTCTTTTTGCGGAACTGGAAGAACTTAATGGACCGGACAGCGGTAGCGACTTCGGAACGCCTCGTCGTTCAACTACAGTATCTCAGACCTCGACACCAAATATTTCTCGATTCATCGACCAACGACGCCCGTCTGAGGTACCTAGCATATACTCTGTAACCAGGGTAATGGTAGATTCTGGAATGATGACAGAACCGTGGGAAGCTGCTCAACCGGCGCACGATGTCGTCGTTCCCTCAACGCCCACAGAACCAGAGGCTGTCCACTCCGATTCGATCATCGCTGCTGAGCCACAGGGTCCAGCGGAATTGGTCGACTCTGCCACACAGTACACCCCGCAAAAAGAATCTGCTATTGGCACCAGTGATCTCCCAATTACTCTGGATACTCCGCCTAAGACAATATGGGATGGACCTATCACCGAAAAGCACCATCAGAACCAACCTGAGCTGGAAGAACCCCCAGCTTTGGCTAGGCCGGCTCCCTTGGAATTGTGCATCTCGCCGATTGTATCCGAAGCAACCGCACCCGTTGCTCCTACTGTTGAAAACGTAGAACAGCGGCCGCAATCCACTCCTAAATTAAATATCTCCGCAATTGCTTATGAGGAAACTCACCCTGTAGCTGTTCCTGCGAAGGCCACCTTGCCACCCAAACACTTGGAACTTGTGCTTTCGCCGATCCATACTGAGACAACTGAACCATTGCAGCCAACATCGCCAGAAGTTACTGAGAAGCCAAGCCTGCAGCTTCAGATTTCGTCGATTTTCACGGAAGAAACCGAGCCAGTGGAACCTCAACCAGCGCAAACCCAACCATTGGGTGGGGCGGTAGCACAGCCCAGCCTATTCCAAAAGCATGATGTTGACGATGTTGAAGCGTTACCCGAAAGACCCAATACTGCGGTGCATATCAACGGAGTTACGGAACATTACAATGTCGGTTTCAAATCAGTGGATGTCGGCACTGACCCCATTTGTCCTATTTATCCACCAGCCGACGAGCCTGTGCAACAGATCGATATCAAAGAAAATAAAGATATTCCACCGCCATTTGCCAACAATGCTTTCAGTGAAATTGTCCACAGCTTTGTTGCACCGCAGTCTCCATCACCCGTCCCACAGATTCAGGTTGCGACTACTGAGCATGCAGCCCAGACAATACTTACGGCAATCCAGATCGATATGCTTCTTTTGGAGCGCTCCTCTCGTGAACGTGCTCCTTCTGTGGGAACTGACTCACATGACAAACCATTGCAACATTCTGCCCTCGTCGACAGAGCTCCCGGCTCTCCCTCTACACCCAAGGCGAGGCCTGTACATACAACACTAAAGGATTCGTTCCAGTCTCCCCAAACTATTGTCAAACGCCCTGGAAGTGCTAGCAGCCAACGACGCGGTTCAGTGACGGCCATTCCCCCATTGCCCTCTGATCATAAACAAGCTATTGCTGCTGCAACCCAACGGCTATCCTTAGAAGCCCCTGCTCCTAGAACGATGGGACCGCCACTCGCCCCTGCTTCTGCCTATCGCACGAACGCCCAAACTCGTCCTCGTACTCCGAATGAGCAAGCTTCAAGTCTCAAGGATGGTGTCACGTCCCGTGTTCATACTCGACGCAGTAGTCAAATATCGCGCCGCTCATCAGCGTCCTCCTTCGCGTCAGAGCTTGATGTACGGTTCAACATTGGTAAATCGGGATACCCTTTCGAGTCTGGTACCGATCCCCGTATGATCCAAGCGATTACCCAGACCATGATCGGCGAGTTCCTTTGGAAATACACGCGTAGGACTGGGCGATCTGATGTATCAAGCAGTAATCGCCATCAACGGTATTTCTGGGTCCACCCGTACACTCGAACTTTGTACTGGAGCGACCAGGACCCGCAGGCAGCAGGGAAATCACAACACAAGGCAAAGAGTGTCGCAATTGAAGCCGTTCGCGTCGTCAATGATGATAACCCATACCCTCCTGGATTGCACCGCAAAAGTCTGGAGATCGTGACTCCCGGCCGTGTCGTAAAGTTCACCGCGTCGACAAGCCAAAGGCATGAAACGTGGTATAATGCACTGTCATATCTCCTTTTGAGAACTGCGGGCGAAGAGGCGGCGGCGGAACGTCGCGATAACTTGAACTCTGACGACATCAACGAATTCAACCCAGAATTTAGATCAACGTCCCGCACGAGTAGATCGCGCATGTCCATTGCCTCCCGAACCAGCCGGAATGCACGAAGCTACTCAAAACATTATCCAGAGCCTACGCTAACCATTCGACATCCTGCGACACCTGGCCGTGTATCCCCTGCCTTATCCAACGAAGCGAACTCCGCCGCACGTCACGGTTCTGTATCCCGCCTTAGCACGATGTTTCGAAATTCGGGCGTGCAAGGGACGTTCTCGAGCCGGCGGAGTAGGTATGGGCACGCTAGGGCGAGTATGGATAGCACCGCCGCTGCGGAGCGGGATAGCGCGGAAGATTTGAGACAGGTTATTGAACAACAGGAGATGGAAGCTGATCGGTTGGAGAATGTGCGGGCGTGTTGCGATGGTAAATATTTACATTGCTCAGTTTTTTCCCTTCTATCATTAGAAATTTTGAAAAGTCGTGCATGTAGCTAATCTTTTCGATTTTCTTCATTTTAGGCAAGCATGATGTTAGCTCCCTATCAAGGACAAGCAGATATAGTTCCAAGGCCAGCCCCAACCCGCACAAGCACGGATAGCTCGTTTATATCACCCATCACTCCGACATTAGACCAGTTGGCTTCCTCTCCAGCAAGGATAAAAGCCTGTCCTATCTTCCTACACGCCTGACGAATTTCCTTGTCGGTATAATACTCTTCATTTCCCCATTTTGGCTGGTGCATAATTTTTCGTTTTCTGTCACCTCGTCCTCCTTTTTCCTTTTCGCGGTATCGGGTTACAGAAATTTCTGGAGGGGAATCCACGTCTTAACTTTTAAATGGATAGATTTATTTGACATGGGTTCTTTTTGCCTTGTTTTACAATACCACCCAGGACACCGACAAAAAGGAATATTGGTATACAAATTGAATCTGTCCCCGCTCCCGCCCCCGTCCCCGGCCCAGCAGGCGCAAACTCTCAGCTCTTATTCGTCGTGGTTTTCTCTCTGTTTTCCTTTTCCTTTTCCTTTGCTATCTCTTTTTGAACCTAGGCCCCCTTATACTGTTGCATAGGTTCCCGTTTGCTATATCTTTATATAATATCGTCGTTTTTTATCTTCTCCCTGCCCTTCGCTCTCACCACTACCCGGGTATAATCACCCGCGAAACTATTCACTTTTCCTTGATTTTTCCTTTGTCTATATTACCATGTTCTCGTGCCCGCCCCTATAGCTCTTCTCCTTGTCTTTTCCTCCCGGATCACTAAATAGCTACTACTATTGAAACAATCCAATAACGAGTTCCATCGCGCCCTGCCTGTTTTCTGATTTTTATTTTCTCTTTTGTTTATTTTCCTTTATTTTCTAAATATTTTGTTTTCAGGAATGAGATAACTTCCAACCCCCTTTTTTCCTTTTTTTCCTTCTTGTCCTTTTTGTTCCTAGTGTCACTTTAATGAGAAGCTAATCATATACTGTTTCCCCCCCTTCTTCTTGAGGGAGGGAGCTGTAAGCCTTTTTTTTTCCCCTTTTTTTGGCTATCATTTTGTGAATTACGTTGGTATTAAGTAATTGGTCGTAAGTTGAATATGAAATGCTTCTGGAACATGCTCACGTGAATTTGAAGTGATGGAAAAATTTTGGAACGGTTTCAGGGACAAAAAGTTTAACGGCGATAAGAATCCCCGCTTTTTCTTGGCAGGAATCTGTAGGGAACGGCAAATATGTTGGAAGAACCTTGGATAGCGAGGAAGGAGGAAAACAATTATCCTTTATTTTAGATTGTTATTTTTTGAAGAGAGAACGGCGCCATACGGCCCCATCCACGTCCACTAAGAATTGGAGCAAGCGGGGCTCCACGCTCTCCAGTTTTTCGACGCGGCGACGGTGTCGATGCTTGGTGTGCTTGTCGCTGCTTGATTGCGTGGCTGATGGGGTCGATGTTCGGAGTGGGTTACAGGTGGTGAGCCAGTAGGGAGCCAGCCCGCTTGAACTTCTCGTCTGTGGGCAAATGAGAGCGGGAATGTTGTTCGGTGATGGTTGGTGGTTGGCGTGGTTTGGTTGGCTCTGGATCGTCATGGGTTCGTGGAGCAAACAGGGGAGAGCGAGCCTTGTATGGAGCACATACATAAGCTTGTTTTGGCGGCGGGTTAAGCGGCCGGGGAGGGAGGAAGAGGAGAGGAGAGGACTGGACTGTCATGTCACGCAAGTGGGTTTTCTTTTTCTCTTTCTTATTTTCTTTTATAATATATTTCTTTTTCTTTTTCTTTTCTCCTATTGACTTGTCTTTCGTTTGGTGTGGTGATAGCGGGAAGGTTTAATATTTAATACTAAATATTTTGGTGAGAGGAGCGCATTTGTTTTAATGGTTAAAAATTTCTGGAGTTATAGACGGATAGGATATACTTAATGCGCCGAATAGTAAATAGGGTTCGTTGTTGCGCGCGCCCGGGAAGATATTTAGCATCAAATAAATATACCAGCGCTCCCCAACACAACTCTACTCTCTTTTGGAAACATTTTTTGCGCTGTCCGTACATCGCATTGTATTCCACCAATGATCAACGCCAGTTTTCAGCTAATTGACCTGGTTCTGGCGTTCCCGTAGCTTGATTGACATCGTCCTGCCCGAGTAATAAAATAAGGTTATCTCAACCTTCTCGCAGCCATCTCACACCCTCAATCTTTCACTCCCACTCCCTCTTCTACCTCTCAGTAACATACACAGAAAGTCACCCCACCCTCGTTTGTCAATCGCTTTCAAAAGCCTGAATCTGCCTCTCAAGCATGCATGCCTCCCATGAGCCATGAGAGCTATCAACAAGATTCTGCTGCAGAGATCTTTTCGGCGCGCTGTGCTATTGCTTGTCCTGCTGTGTACCCTAGTCTTTGCAGCGCTCGCCCTACGCCAGAAGCTTCATCAACCAAAAGTACTCACTCTCTCCCTCCTTCTAGAGGTTCATTCCTTGCTTTTTTCTGAACGAGAGAATAAGCTAATGCGTTTTCGCTTTGATAATAGAGACAGTTCCCTGTCCCGCAAGAACAATATGCCGCGGAGGCGAGCCAGTACCCCAGGTCCGTTCTTTTTAATATCTAGATCTACCTACATCATATCCTTGGGTATATATTATATATCGCTTATACCAAAGCGGTCGGTGTACTGATACTGACTCTGAATTGCCTTATTTTAATTCTTTCGCTCCCCACAGTGCATTCAGGAACTTTGTCTCAACTTTATCCCATCTCACCACTCCAGAACACTACAACCACTCAGAAGTCTTAGATGACCCTCGCTTCGGAGCCCAGCGTGGGCCTAAGATTCCTAAAATATACCGTCCTTACCCAAATTATGAGAGTGCGCGCTGGAAAAGTTCGCATCGTGGCAGATATACCCCATGTGACGGGCCAAGGGGGAAGCCCATATCACAGAATCTTGATGACCAGGTGGGGTGTTATGTGGGTGATCTAGGTATATATATTATTATATTCAAAGAATTCCCTGTTCTGCTATACTCTATTCTTGCAGGCTAACTACCGGTTCTGCCGAAAAAACCAAAAATAAAGGATTCCCCAAACCCATGTTTGGCTCTCATGAGGCTATAGGATTGAATGGAGATATATTCTTCGACCGCTACACAAGATACGGGGCATATGGCTATGGGGAGAATGATACGTTTGTTAACAATTGGAAGAAACCGTCCAGGGTTAAATGGGGCCAGGTAAACTGGGAGAAACTACAAGAGCAATGCTTCTTGAGAAACGTAGACAGATTCTCGACCGAGGAGGGGCTGCTTGCACATTTACCGCGGGATTCCCCGCGACGCCAGATCGCGCCGGAGGCCCGTACGGCTGTTCTCCTCCGCTCATATGTTGGGAAGGAGTATTCCGATAATGATATGCAAACTATCCGGTCATTGATTTCGGAGCTGTCGTTGCAGTCTGGGGGCGAGTATACGGTTATCCTGCTGTTGCATGTCAAGGATGAGGAAATCGAGATTGAGAAGGCCGATATATACCAGCAAGTTGTGCGGGAGAATGTGCCCAAGGAATTCTGGGGTATGACTGTTCTATGGAATGCCCCTACCGTGTCAAAGCGTTACCCACACCTTGTCAAGATGGAACTTACCGAGTACGTTTTATATCCCACCTTTTTTTGCCCCTGTTCATACGTGTATTCACCTCAAAGGAGGAAGGAAAAAAAGGCCCAGTGATTCCTAACCAATACATATACAGCGTCCACCGTGCCCAATGGCACTCCGTCCAATACTTCGCCCTTACCCACCCACAATACGAATTCATCTGGAACTGGGAACTCGACTCCCGCTTCACTGGCCACCACTACGAATTGGCTGACAAAATCGCCTCTTTTGCCCGCTCCCAACCGCGTAGGGGCCTCTGGGAGCGGAACGCCCGCTTCTACATCCCCGCCCTACACGGCAGCTACAACTACGGCTTCCGCAACTTCGTGCAGCGCTTCGAAAACGAAGCCGTGTGGGGTCCTCTGCCCATCAACCACGAACACCTGCGGCCCATCGGCCCCGTCCCGGCCGTACCCTCACCCGACCAAGACACAGAGTACCGATGGGGCGTCGGCGAGGATGCAGATTACATCGGCTTCCTCCCCATCTTCCACCCCATCGGCACGGAATGGGTCATCCGCAACGAAGTCTACGGCTACCTAGGAGAAAACACGCCGCGGCGCGCGTCGCTAATCACGCACTCGCGCTTATCCAGACGCCTGCTCCTCGCGATGGATCGGGAGAATATGTTCGGCCGACACATGTCCTCGGAACTATTCCCCGTCTCCACAGCGTTGCTGCATGGTTTTAAAGCTGTCGCGGCACCGCATCCCATCTACTCTGATAAAGATTTACCGACCAATCGTACGGATCGGTGGTTTAACCCGGGCGTCAATGGGCGGGCAGGTAGTTCTAAGGATAGCCCCTTTGGGTGGAAGAGGGAGGCGAGGTTTCTGGATGTGTCATGGTATTATCGGGCGAATTTGGCGGGGAGGTTGTATTGGAATTTCTTGGGGTGGAGCAAGGGTCGGACGGGGGGTCGATTTGTGAGTAGCTTTTTTTTCCCTTCCTTACACACATGGGAGAAAGTGGTCTGAAATTTAGTTTAATCGTCTGTGTGCTAACCAATAACCCCGCCGTTTCCCCTGTAGTACGAATTCCGACACGGACGCCATATACTTCCGTCCATACTTTTCCATCCCGTCAAAGACGTTTACGCAGATGCGAACAGTATGGGATATGACTTTGATTTCCAGCATTGAGCCCGGGGCTTTTAGTTGGTGTTTATGATGACGTTTCCGAAGTCAAGGGAAGTTATATTTCCCTCCCCAATTTTATTCCTGGTCTGGTGGTGTGAGAAGAGTACGGGTGACCCGGTTTGAGATGGGATTTGTATATCTTTTTATTAACACTTCTTTGTTTTTATTTTCCGTTCATTGTATATATTCCCTTTCTGTTTTTTTTTCCCCGCTCCCTTTTAATTCTGCATCCCGTCAACCATCATTCTCCGCCCCCCCGACCCAAAATACTGCTTCCCGTTACTGCCTACGGTCCAGTCCGCTTTATGTCCGTTTTCAATTTACATGTTTAAATTCCTGTGAGTATAGATTAGAGGGAACAGGGTGTTGTTGCTTTACTTTTTTCTTTTTCTTTTTCTTTTTCTTTTTCTTTGCTTTTTTCTTATTCGTTTAATGTTGCCTAGTTCTTACTTCTTCTACCCCATTTGTCCGTTGATATTTTAAATGTGTTTACTTACATAGTACATGCTACTTGCGACGACCTCATCTGGTGATTTTGATTTTTTATACATTGTGCATATGGAATACAGACGGAGTTCTCACTGATATACCTCTTCCTCTCGTCTTTTTGTCCCTATTTTCTCTGCTTCTTTTTTCCGTTAGAATATCTTATTAGTTAATCGGAGAAGAAGGAAGACAGGCATAATTTTTTTCTTCCCCGTTTTGTTCCTTGTCCATTATTTTACGCATATATATCTGTTATGGAACATAATTTCAACTGGGAACACTTTGTATGACATGAAATAACGAAAGCAACCAGTATATCATTTCCAGAGCCGAATTTCGGCCAGTCTCCGCCTCGGCATATGCTCGGCAACCCGAGAAAGACCTCCTCTCAAATTCAGGGTCACGTGACTTCCTCCTTTTGCATCTCTCTCCGTGTTCATGCTGCTGCTGGGTTTAATTATTGCCATATAAGGTTATTTTTCCAGCTTGTTCTTATCTGGTTTTTATTACCTCCCTGCCGTTCGCCCAATTTGATACATTGCGCTGCTTTAATCATTATTATTAGTTATATAAGATACACGTGCGGCATTTTGCGTTCTACGGCAGTTGACAACACGCGCGTCTGGCGCGTAATTGAGATAGGGTGAGATAAGAGAGACCTCACAGGGTAGCCTTGGTTTGTTTTTGAAAAAGGGCTCAACTAGCCAAAGCTCGCTTTTTTTCTGGATTGCTGGAGCCAGGAGCGCAGCGGAGGAGAGCAGAGCGGAGTGGGGAAGAACTACTTAGTACTTTACAAGTACTTCTTACAAACTATCGAACGGGAGAAAGCCATCCCCCATCTTCTCTTCTCCATCTCTTTCCAACCAACTTCAAGAATACTCCCTCCTGTATTTTAGCACAGCACGGCGGGCAGAGAGCAGGACGGAAAGCTCTGGTATCATTGAGCGGAAGGTTACTTTATACCATACCGAACCAAGCTATCCAGGCTTGCTTGCTAGTTCTATTCAGTCTAGAGCTGCTTTTTTGTTTTCGTTTCTTGCGATTCGGTTGATATATACATATATACGGATATATATCTATATACCGAACAGAAACAATGGCATCTAACGGCCCGCCTACCTTCTCCGAGCGCGTGGAGAGCATAGTTGAACCAGGCAAGTTGCTTGTGGGATCTGCGTATCGTGAGTGTTGACCTTTTCCTTTTTTTTTTTTTTTTTTTTCATTTTTTTTTTCCTTATCGTTTCCATATTCTCTTCTTTTAGTTCCGCACCTGCTCTGCATCGCATCTTTCTTCGCTGTGGTTTTTCTTTCTTAGATTCCCACATCTTTGTCCTGGATCCTCCTTTTCCAAGCGTGCATGAGGTTATGATTTCGCCTCCGGAAAAAAAAGGGGGGGGGATTGAGTTCCTCCTCCCACCTCCTTCGTCTTTATTTCCCCCTACCTCCCCGTCCTCATATGCACAAATATTGAATGTGGCTATGCTTTCTTTCTTATGATACCCCTGGATCTACATGATATGATATGAAACTTGAGTTTTGGATGCATCGTTATGTGGCCGACAGAATGGTCCTCTGCATGCACATATCTGCTCCGTACGCCCAATCTCTATAGCCGCTGTCTCTGTCCCTATCTCTTCCCACCTCCTACCTGCTGCACCATCATTAGCTCTCATGCCAGTTTCGTATACAACAATATAAACTGTAACTGCCATCCTTACCTTCACTACTCTTTGATCCATGTACAACACACATACACACGCACACACCTTTCTCTCCAAACAAGGGAAATTCACAGCGCTAACTAGATCTTCCTCACCTGAGGCCGTCGCCTCCCGCGCCGGGAGTGCTCACGGGTTCTAGATTTCCCCCTTTTGTGTCCCTCACAGAATTTACAGTTGTCTTGCTAGAGACAGTCTTCAGAAGGGGGGAGGTTTTAGCTCCGATATTTCGCCTGCAGCAGGTGCGCGATGAGGCGTTTTCGAGGTTTTGGATTAATATTTCAGGTTCGTTTTCTTCTTCTTCTCTGACATCTATTTTCTTTTCGTTTTCAGTTTTGTTATATCAAAAATTAAGAGCATTTGGGGCCGTGTTTGGCGTATGTTATGTGCGACGTTTTGAAGTGGATATGAAGGGGGCGATTCGGGATCAGATTGGTTATCTTTTCCTGGTATTGCCTCTGGCATGGGTTGGGGGTGGGGGTGGGGGTGGGAGGGGGGGGATGGATGAACCGTATGCCGCATGGATGGCTTCATGGGAAAAACAAAAGACAAGAGAATCTAACTAACACAACACCAAACCCACATAGGCGCCCGCGACCCCGTCGAAGCCCCCCGCGTCGGCTCATCAGCCCTGATTCCGCCCCTCCTCGCCACAGCCGACGGCATCGTCCTCGACATCGGTCCAGGAACCGGCACGCAAACGCCCCTCTTCACCAACTCAAACCTAATCCGCATGTACGGCGCCGAGCCCTGCCAGGGCCTGCACAAGGATCTCATGGCGAAGATCGAGGCGTGCGGGCTCGACGGGAAATATCAAATCCTGCCGTGTTCGGCGGAGCGGAAGGAGCTGTACCCTGCGCTGGGGAGGGAGGGGTTGTTGGCGGATACGGAGGCGTGGGTTATGGGAGGGGAGGAGGTGGGGGGGTTAGTGCAACGGGGCCAGGGGGTGTTTGATACGATTGTCTGTGTGAGAGTTTTGTGCTCTGTGCCTGACCAGCGGGGCACGGTGAGGGGGTTGTATGATTTGTTGAAACCTGGGGGGAAATTGGTTGTTTGTGAGCATGTGCGGAATGGATGGTCTATTTGCTGTGGGCGGATGAGGGGGCGGGAAGGGGCGAGTATTGTGGCGAGATTCATGCAGGTTGTTTATACGTTGCTGCGGTACGATTTTTTTACCTCCCCCTTACGCCGCATCCCAAATAGCAAGGGAATCGGGGAAGGTTGCGGAGGCGGCAAAGAAGGGGGGGTAAGAAAAGGTGGATGTTCAGAGGTGGTTTGAATGGTCGGTTCTGCCGTATGTGGCGGGGACGTTGGTGAAGAGGAGGGATGGATGAAGGGGTGGGATATAAAGGGTTTTGCGCGTTCTATTTATGGTTTTGTATAAAGTGTCGTATAGATAATTGTTGTACATAGGCACTTCGATAGAGGTGTACATACCTTAGGGCGTGGGATTCGCTTGCCATGATTCCGGACATAGACGATGAGAGGACCGCGTCCATACGATTTAATCAGATCACTCGACTAGCCATAGCTATGTATGTAAATTTCCATTGACTCAAGTTTAATCCCGTACTATTCCATTCCTCTATCTAATATATAATCAAATGCCAAAAAGACATAATCATGTATCATGTAATAATCAAATAAAAAAAAACATAAAACGGGACCGAAACCGCCCGTCTCGTCTACTGTTAGGCAGCTAGCATATAAAAAAACACACAGATGAGAAAACTGAAGAAATAAATGATAAGATTCATACTCCCCAACCTCTCAACCTCATCACCCACCAACACCAACCCTCTCCCCCTTCCGCTCCGGCTTCGCCCGCCCAGGCGGCCACCAATCAAACAAATCAAGCGCCTCCTCCGTCCACGGCCCCTGATCCTCCTCGTCGACATCTACACAAGTGGCAACGTGCTGGTTCCTCTTCGGGGCAAGGAGGCTCTGGCGGGTGCGTGGGGCCGTCTGTGCTGGTACTGCTGCTGTTGTACTAGACGTGGTTGTTCTTCCTAGGACAGTTGATGCGTCTGAGAGAGCCTTCTGGAGGGGTTTTGGTGGGGGAGGAGCCGCGGACTTTAGTTCAGGGGATGGTGGTGGTGGGTCGCTCCTTTCAGCCAGAGCGGGTTGCGTGGTGGGTAGGGGGAGCGGGAGCGGGAGGGTTTCGGATAGTTTTATTATTGTTGATTTGTGGGGGTGTATATGCTGAGCGGGTGGTGGGCGATGGGAGGAATTTTTAGTTTGGGGTAGTGATGGAATCCTATCTGAGTGGCTGCGAGTAAAGGGGCGGTGATGGGATTGAGGTCTGTCAGGGGATATCAAGGGAGGGTGTTCCGTAGTAGTGCTCGTAGTGGGGCCCGTGGTGGTTTGCGGTGTTTCAACCGCTGGGCTTGGAGAAGGATTTTCTGGCGCCTTCATTGTCGCAATAGGCGGTGCTTGTTGCTGGCAACTTGGCTTGAAGAACTGGTCTATGGGTTTCGTCCTTTGAGAGGATGGTAGTGCAGAATCCGATTCCTGCAGGGCACGTAGGGTTGAAGTTGATGGTATGAAGTGGATCGTACTATTTATCTCCGTTAAGGGAGACGTGAAGCCGGGGCCGGTAGGAGGGATATTTTCGATTTCAGCGGCTGGGTCTACGTCATCGATGAGTGATTGGGGTCGACTGTCTCTTTGCGTTCGTACTCTACTGCTCGGAGTCTCTGCTGAGCGTTGTTGAGGTCTGGGTGTTGGCCGTCGGCCTGCCTGTGCAGGGATTAAGTCCTTATACATTAGTTTCTTTCGAGGCTTTTCGATAGTCATCCTGAGCGTATTGACCGATCCAGTCTGGTTAGTCAAATCGATGGTGGTTTGCGATTTCGACCTGTCCCCATTTTTCGTAGTGTTGGGCGTCTCCCTCGACGAAGATTTGGATGATGTGGAGGCGCTGTTCAACGCCAAATCGCTTGCTGGCTTAAATGAGGCGAGTGAACTTGACACGGAGGAATATGATATGGAGTCACGAAGCCGGTGCTGTCGTGATGGCCTATCGAGATCTCTTCCCTGCTCACGGGTATTTACTCTCTGCCTCTTTGGAGCGCGTTCCGTAGCGTTGGTATCACATCTGTCGTCGGGACGAACGATGCAATGTCGTTCCTCATAAGGTGACCTTGACGGCAAGGCAGCCCTTCCAATTGGCGTTTTTCTGATACCCAACAGCTCGTTCAGCGACTTCAGCCGTCCCGACGAGTTCAGTGCCGCATTATTACTATTGATAGCAAACGCTAACCGAGAGGAGGCCTCTGGCGAGAACGCGTTTGCCGGATAGGTAGCAGACGCATGGCTCCTCTTCTCTAGTAGCTCTGTCAAGTCCGTCTGGGTCTTCTCCACACACTCGCCGACCTGCACGAGGACTCCTCGCTCCAGTTCCAATTCATCGCCGTCGTTCGGCTCCTCTCCTTCCCGCCAATGTAGATCACCCACGAAATTGTTTTGGGTATCATAAACCATCACCCGCTTGTTGAATGAATGAACACGGAGGAAGCCATCGTGCCACCGTTTTGCTTTGCGTCTGATGTCATGGGAGAATAGGCAACGGAACTTACTGACGGGGCCAGAGGTGTGAGGGGTCTTGGCCGTGGAGGTGGAGGTGGAAGGGAGGGCGGAGGAATTCATGATGCAGGAGGGAGCGGGAAGGCATCCTACGACGGAGTCATGACCATTGTCTAGCTGTATTATCTTCCTTCCTAGTCCACAGCAAACCGTCTACGAGCCTCAACTCATTCTTTTGCTTTAATGGTGTTGACGCGAGATGATTGGGAAGACGCGACGGGGCTGACTCAGCAGGCTCTTGGGGGGTTGCGTTGGTGTTGGGGTCCCGCGGTTGATCGGCCCTTCTACCAGCAGGCGCTGGTGGTGATTGAGCTCTTTTGCCCCAGTAGCCTACAGGTTATGAGACTGTTAAGCATGAGCCCTGCTATGATCAACATGCATGGATTTGATCTCAGAATGAACTTAAAATTTTTAAATAAATACTCTGAATATTTAATACTACTAAGAGACATTCTAGAAGTATACTCTAGAAGTCTCCTAAGCTCTAAAACTAAGTTGACTGAAAGAAGTCACTGAGAGAAGTACTGTACTCTGTAATAGCTAATCTAAGAGAGAATGTTAAGAGTTCTGTAGTTAATCAGCTCTTCTATCAGCAGGTACTGATAATAATTAAGCTCTTTTATTTCAGTAGTTTACAGATTATAAGACTATTAAGTATAAGTTCTACTATAGTTAATATAAATGAGTTAAATCTTAGAATAAACTTAAAAATTCTAAATAAATACTCTGAACATTTAACACTGTTAAGAGATATTCTAGAAATATACTTTAGAAGTCTCTTAAGCTCTAGAACTGAGTTTACTAAGAGAAGTTACTATAGAGAGTTACTGAAAGAAGTTACTAAGAGAAGTACTATACTCTGTAATAGCTAATTTAAAAGAGAATATTAAGAGTTTTATAATTAATCAGCTCATTTATCAGTAGATACTGATAATAATTAAGCTCTTTTACTTCAGTAGTCTACAGTGTATATAGACTTAGTAAAAGATTATATTAACTACTATCTTCAAAGAATTTACAGAGAGTACTAACTATATAAGTAAGACTTAGTATTAATGTTTTAGAATATTGAAAATAGACAGAGTTTTCACAGAGATTACTCTTTAAATATCTTTATAATTACAGATCAGAGATCTTTCAAAATTAAGAAAATTAATAAATAGAGTTAGATTTCTTTACTTTAGAATTTGTATAATAATTTTATAGCAGTGTCTGTTTCAGTAATATTACTGTAGCAATTACTTCTTCTACACATAATCTTATATGTAGACTGACTGACAGAATTATAAATTTCATATTTAATCTCATTTAGTCTGATCTTATATATTTCTTAATATAAGTCTTATTAGAACTGAGTATTAAAAATTCTGAAAATAAACTATTTTTTTCAGAAATAATGTGAAAAATAACTAGATTTAATTCAAGAATAGTGAAATGAGAGTAATTTCTCAGAATAAATAATAAAAAATAATTATACTTTAAAAATTAAAATAAAATTGAGATTGAAAATTAAATTCTGATGAAGATAATATAATGTAGTAGTTAATTATATTATTAAGATTTATCTATTATACGGCCTTTTATATATGTAGATATTTGCTAAGTAATCAGTAAACATCTTACTTATACAGAAGTAGTCAGTCTGTAGAGAGAAAATCTGACACTCTTCTTAATTACTACTCTAGTGAGTAAATATTTACAACTCAGCAGAGCAGTTTTATAAGTAGAGAAAGAATATTATATATAAAAATAATAGTGTCTTCTATCAAAGATTTTGCAGAGAACTAACAAGAGTTAAAGAATAAGAATAAAGAAAACAGTAAAATGAATAAATAAATGAACTACTGTAAAGATAGTAAGCTGATAAAACTCTGCATTTATTAGAATGTCTTCAGAGCTTTTCTGACTGTAAATGTTCAGATTTCTATATTAATCAGAGCATCTTCATGAACTTCAGCTGTTAAAGCTTTTATTAGAGTATTCACAGTTATGCTGATAATATCTATTTATATGATTTTAATAATACCTGCAGCTGCAGTGTCATGAATGTGATAATATTTAATATTAATATAATATATATTGTGAGTGATCTTTTCACTGTTTACTACAGTAATTACTCTGTTATTATTATTAATATATAGAGAAACTGTAAAATCAGAGAATAGAAATTCAAGCTTCACAAGCAGTTCACATAGTCAGATTACAGTTTTAAGATTTTCAGAGATAGATATATACTCTGCTTCTGTAATACTCAGTATCATGATTGTTTACTTAATAAATTTTTATATAATTAATCTATCAGTGAGATGAATAAGAAGATCTGATATAGATTTACAGTTACTAATATTATCTACTTAATCAGAATCTGTAAAGACTTCAAAGTTGATCTCTTTCACTTCAGTGATATAATAAATATAGTGATCAGTTGTGCTGTAGATATAGTAAAAGAGCTGTTTAACTACAGCTCAGCATACTTATATAGACTTACTTAATCAATAGACAAGCTTGACAGTTGTAAAAGATATGTTGAGATGAGTGTATATAATAAGATATTAAAGTAATTCAATGACTTACTGATATTTAAACTTATTAAAAGATTCAGAATTGAAGAGTGAATTAAAGATAAGTTTCATAGAGATTCTTACAGCTCAGAAATTAGCTATTCTGAATTTCTTCAATATTAATTTAATATAGATGACTTATAATAGCTTAATATTACTGTTATTCTTCTCAATCTTTATACTTAAGTAATAATTTACAGATTCTAGATCTTTCACTGTGAATTAATTAATAATTTAATGAAATATCTGTTCAATAGTATTCATATTAAGATCTATTAACTTAACATTGTTTACATAGAGAGTGAGAAATATCTGAGAATCTCTTTTAAATCAGAGACTCTTATCATGATAAGAGAATTTGAAGCTGATATTCTTAAGATGACTTGTAAGTAGATTAAATCACAAGTAGAGAGTCTGTTTAAGACTGTAGAGAGACTGCAGAAGCAGGCATACATAACTAGTATTATTATCAAATTCAGTTGATTACTTTATATAGAGCTGCTTATTAGATGACAGATCTGTATTCAGAAATACTGTGATAAAATCAACTTAATAAACATTTCAACTTTTCACTACTGCTACTGCAAGCATAGCACAGATGACAGAGACAGAGATAATAGAGATATAGATATTATTGAAATTAACACTCTTTTATTAATGAAAACTCTGAATAATTCATCTTATCTTATAGAATGATATACTGCTGTTTATATTGATTTTAACATAATAAACTTAATGACTATCAAGAATTCAGATTTTAACAGTTAACTTATTTATAATCTTAAAAATTTTATACTTAGCTGCAGAGTCAAGCTCTTTCTTTATAACAGCTATTTAAACATCTTTTTATAAAGATGTAATTATCTTCTTATATATTTGTGAAACTTTAATTCCTGCAACAGTCTCAGAGTCTTAGTATGTAATACAGATCTTGAATATATAATAGAGCTAAAATTTAATAATACTGAATATCTTCAGAGTAATGAGATTGAAAGTTATAATATTTTTTCAAGATCTTTCGCATCTTTTTAAAGTTACAGATGACTTCTTACTAACTTTCTTTCAGAGATATCTGACTTTGCAGCCTGTGACTGTAGTGATGAATGAAAGAGAGATATTCTTAACTAATATCTATACAGAGAGAAACTCTTTCTGCATAGATACAGAGATCAGTGATGAATTAATATAGAGATAATTATTATAAGTAAGAATATCTGTAGTCAGTATGTAAAATATATCAATTATGTTGTAATTATTAAGTACTGAGCTCACTAGCTGTGATAGTGTGATATTCTTATTGAATTTCACACTGCTGAATATGATAACTTCATCTTTTACAGAGTTTTATATTCTATATATCAAGACAGATCAACCGCTCCACCACGAACTCGCTCAATTTTTTGAATAAGAACCCGCCGATAGATCCATCGAAAAGCCCTCGATCATATGAGCATTCTGACCCCATCGCCGACCGCATACCCTGTGTGGTGGTGGAGTTATCCAGCCAAATGTGAACCGGACGTTGTTCGAAACTCCTGTGTGGGAGTATCCCCTGTTCTCCCCTATCACACCACAACCCCGGGCCAAAGTGCCATACAAATTGTAAGGTGAAGAGACCTAGCCATATGCACCAATCTTCTCGATTTTGGAAGATCCCCGATCTGTAGTTGTGGAGATATCTGAGGAGCGACCTCCGCGAAAACCCTGTCCATCTTTGATGTTCCAAAACACCAACGCCAAGTCCCACCATTGTACCGCCCTTCCTAATCTGGCCCATCCCCGGCAGAAAAATACAAAAAGATACCTCGGCGATAATATCAAGCACATAATCAATGACCACTTCTGAAGTGCAATCTCCGCGGTCTGTCTTCAGTGTATCTGGACATCAATGCCAAGTCTCGCCCTCGTACCACCCCTCTCAATCTGGCCCATCCCCGACAGAAAAGTACAAAAAGATACCTCAGCAACTGTATTCAATACATAATCAGCAGACACGACAACTATAAAATCAGTATACCCCAAGGTCTGACTGAGCCTTTGATCCCTGCACAGTGAGATATATTAAATCTAGTTTTAATACCTCAATATTCAATAGATTCTGCAAGAGATTGAGAACAGCAACACTAGATTTCTATTGAATTTGAGAATTAACTCTATATTGATATAATCATTGACAAAGTCTTCTATTTTAAGATATAAATAACCAGTTCCTCTACATCTCACTGACAATATTTATATTATCATATAGAAACAGACTTATATTCTCTATAATATCAAGATCCTGAAGAGGGAAAGTCTTGATAGAGAGTATACAGTAGTGCATATCTTAGCAGTTTCTATCTCATTCTTCTGCAGCAGTTAATGCAAAAAAAAAAGATTTTAGAAATAGTTTTTTACTTCTCTTAAAAAAGTAAGATGTTTTTCTCTGAGTTTTACACAATATTCTTACAAAGAATTAAAAACAGAGTTATTTTCTGTCATAATTTCATATTCTTTTAAGTAAGAATTACTTTTTCAGTGACTGAAGAGCTTTCATTAATACTTAATTCTTTTTTACACTCTTTATTAACTGATTTGAGTTGCACACCTGTTGTGTGAGAAGAATTGAATAATTTAGAATAAAATTGAATAGTTTTAATCAATTTCTCTTCAAAAAATTGATTTATTTTTTGTCAGTTTTTCTCTTAAAAACTGTCATATCATCTGATTTACTATCAATTGATATCATACTTTTTCTCATTATATCTCAAGAAAGAGATTGTAAAGATTTTATTGATTTATCTTAAAAATCAATTTTAGTTTATTAGATTCTCTTCAAAAATCTAACCTAGTTACTGAAC